TTGGTTTAACCATCTATTCCTATACAATGCAACCATTGTATATTATCGGTGCTTTGGGTAATGCGTTGCTTTTTGATGCACTGCAATAACAATCTAACTTATTACAAGGTGATATGTCAGGTTACAACATATGGAAGTTTACTGTATGTATATTATTAGGTAGAGTTAATTATATATTGCTACTTTCTGCAGTGAACCCTTCATTATATTCTAGTGTATTTTTAGCTTAATTATTTACAAAAAGGCAACACAATCAGCTTTATCAAAAAGATGCTGGTCCTATCTTTTGTTTTAACATTTTTAGATTTATGGATCAGGCACAATTTTCCTTTCACATAGCCATTATTTACATTTGACACATGTCAAAATACTAAACAGAACTTGGTTTAATCGTTTCAGCATTCAGTTCCAGATTTGGGCAGTTTCCCCGGAAGTAAAAGAGTTCACTAATATAAGGTAATAGCAAAGTCAGTGATGTAACCAGCAGAGCCCTTCTGGGACATTATCAGACAAAGTTCTGATTCCAAAAGACTGTAGTGTTGAAGCCTTTCAGATACACAACACCAAAGAAAGCAAAAATCAAAATGTCACTGCTAAAGCAAGCTGAGATTTAACACATTTATTTAACTATGTAAATACATGCAATCAAAAAAAACAATATTAGAAAACAAATATACTGTACTGTAAGTGCTTAAGAGTGCTGGACTATTAATGTATTGTCCTTGGACTTCTTTTATTTTCCTAAAGCTTTCCTTTTCACATTTTTCCTGTTTTTTGGAGACTGGCTGGGTGACAAAGTCCACTTCAAACACTCTTCAGAATCAGGAAGAAGAGGATACGGATGGCAGCGTGTGGAATGATTTTACCTTGGCTACTATAATATTTTATGGCCAAACGAACAATGTTACTGTGGGCTGTTTTTGTCAGCATAAAACATTTACCATTTAGACCACTTTTTTTGTCAAGCTTTAAAATAACTTTGTTTCATGTTCTGTTGATGAATATTAATGAATACTCACTTTCACGTGCTTATTTTTGCTGTAATGTTCATATATCTTGCACTACATGTTTTAGTTTAAAAAGAATGTTCATTCTTCTTTCAGAAATATAAAGCATTATCTTCAAAAATTTGTATTTTTGTATTTTAGTTTGTTTAAAAAGAAATTTAGCATATTTTAGCAAAAATATTGTAGGAAATCTGTTGATTTGTGTTTTTTCAACTCAATGAGTACTAAGTTATGTACTGTACCTTGTTTCATGGATTAACATTTAGTTACTGTATAATCATCGAAAATATTAATAGCTGCATGTTAACCTATCATTTAGAAAACATATTTGAATTAAATAGCCTATGTAAAATGACTTACCGAAGATTTTGTTTAAACAAAATTAAATCTATTGAGTTATACATAACACATAACAAAATTAAATACTGTTTACATAAATATGTATTAAGGTGGTCATTCAATCCATTGTTATTTATTTTCCTGAGGATCGTACTAGCCATTTCATATAGGTTTTCATGGAATCAGTTTCAGCAAACAGGACTTGGTAGCTTGTTCCAGGCACCTACTGTATCACCCTTTGTAATACATGTCTTGTGCTCTGCATACCTGTGTCAATTCAGGATTCTAAATACTTCTGTGTTGTCCCCTCGTAATCCGGTATGTTCTAGATTAAAGAGAGTCAGTTCTTTTAGTCTATGTATGACATTAGACCTGGAATAGACTGGTTACCCTTCTCTGAATTTTTCTAAGGCAGTAATGTCCTTTTTATAGCACAAAAACTATTATTACAAACATTATTCTAAGTAAAGTCTAACTAAAGCATTGTATAACCTTATTGTTACTTCTTTTGAATCCAGTTCTACTGCTATATAATCTATATCTTCACTATATTCCCTAGTACATTATTGGGTTTTTTTAATTGCTTCTCCAAATTGCCTGGAACAGGACAATAATAATAAGTCACCATGAACTCCCAAGTCTCTTCAAAAAGTTTGTTTTATCTGTTTTCAGTGTTTTCCAAGCTGCGGTCTGCAGACCACTTCTGGGCCATGGCTAGACTCCAAGTGGTCCATGAGTAACTCCAAAAATACAGCCTAGCTCTTCCAAAATGAAACCACTTCTAGAACAATGCGAAGTGTCTATGATAGTCGCACAATAGTTAAAGTCAGTACAGAATTGTGATGCCCCGACTTTCCTTCCATTTTTGTGCTGTACACATAGTGAAAGCTATGAAGCTGCTGAGTGGTTAAGACAGGCCGAAATCCTTCCAAGAGAACCTTCATGCATTAGGCACTCAAGATTCATATACACAAACCACTAGTGACTTTTGACCAATGGCATTCAGCCCCTGACAGCCAACCAGCACTTTGCTGTGGTTTTTAGAACAACCATTACCTTGGAACTGGGTAATTGTGGACTCATCAAGCAAAAAAAAGGACAGTTTCCAAAGAGCACAAGAGCAAACTAAATGGAATTTATAACGAACGTTTGGGTGGGACTACAACAGCCAAGTTCAATAAGCCTCAGTTGTCAGTAATTCGTAATCCCTCTTGACATCACTTCCTCACCTAAAACATTATAAATACTGCATGTAATCGGCTTCTCTTCCTCGCATATATCATCCCAAATGACGCAGCTGCCCCTTGGTCCTTCCTTAGTCTGCATTGGGGTCCCAGCCACCTCATGCTATATCCAGGAGGTCAGCTTTTAGTGAAGCAGGTTAAAGCCAAATTGTATTGTAACTAAAACATTGCACTAACCTTTAAAACATCTTAGAGCATATAATGTATTTAGATTACATGAAAGAATTTGACAAGGGCCCTCATTAAAATCTATAAGCCATGCATTAATTGCTACAGGAATACAAGCTAATGTATGTATATGGATCAAAATGTGCTTTACTAAGAGGAAACAGCAAGTCATCTTACAGGAGTATAACCTCTAACTGGGCAGCTTCAACCAGTGGTGTACAATGGGGTCCTTTTTTGACCACTTTTAAAATAAATTATTTAGATTTGGATACATTTAGCAAACTTTAATATATGTTTAAATATATATAAAAAATATTAACAAAGTATAACTTGTAGATGATACAAACACAAGCGGAGTGGCAAACACAGACTCATCAGCAAGAAACTTGCAAGAAGCTATAAATCACCGAGTGCCCTGACACATGGAAAATGAAATCCAACACTGACAAGTACAATGTGAACCACACAGGATATAGGAACATACACTATAGATATTCCATACGTGATGTTGAGGTGTGGAAATGTGCGTAAAAATGAGATCTGAGTGTTTATAAAAATTATTCCATGTTTTCAAAATAAAACCGTGAAGCCAAGAAAAAATAAAACAATGATTGATTATAGCAAAATTAGAAGCAATTCAAATTTGGTGGGACAAATGAAAAGATCTCCTCTGTAACTTTTTTTGAATTGTAGAAGAAAAACCTAATAGAAAAACTGGAAACTTTAGGAATTCAAGATAATGTAAATACTTGCACACGGATAAAGAATTTGTTAATAAAGTAGTAGTTGACTGGAATGAGGTCATTTTGGGGATTTTAAAGGGATCGGGTTTAGGACTGATGTTTCTACAGTCATTTAATGATATAGGGAAGGAGTCTATAATGATGGAGAACCCCAGTACAGTTAATCTTGTGACCTTAAAGACAAGTTATTTATAAAACAGGGACACCAGAAATAAGTCATCTGGTCAATTAAGGGAGCTCTGGTTCTTCAGATTTAAAAGATATTCTGATTATTGTGCTAAGTGATCTCTGAATCAGGATGGCACAGTGTTTAGCATTGCTGCCTCAAAGCATTGGGGCCTGGGTTCAATTCCTGGGGTGCTATCTGTGTGGTGTTTGTTCTCCCTGTTTTCACCAGGTGCTCGTGTTTCCTCCCACAGTCCACAAACATACAAGTAGGTTAATTGGATTCTAGGAAAACTGGCCCTGGTTTGAGAGTGTGCAAGCTTGTGCCAGAGCACCGCGATTGACAGTCATCTTGTCCAGGGTGTATTCTTTGTTTGCAAGGATAGTGTGCATGTTTGTATTTGTGTCTGTGTGTGTCTGCCTGCGTGCATCGCGTCCAAATATGGCCAGGATAGGCTTCAGCTCCCCTCGACCCTGTATTGGATATGCAGCAGATGATCTCTAAATGACTTCATTGAACAACCTCCCGTTTAACTACACATAGTGATTAATGGAAATGACCATCTCCATGACTGTAAACTCATGCGCTAGGGACTGTCCTATATTTAGAAAAATAAGAGTATCAAATTTGCCGATGATACGAAAGTAAATGGAGCTCCAAACAGTAAGGTAATTCCAAATAAAATAGGTGCAGGCCATCTGGCGATTTTTAGGAAAAGTCAACATAAGGACATTTTATTAAGGACTCTAAACGTCACATTTAATTCCTGTTGATTTGCAGTTTAAAATCCCAGTTTAAACATAAACAAGTTCATTTATATTTTCAGGAGTCGTACATTAACTTTCAACTTCATAAAACATACATTTATCAGCTTAAAGAAATAAACTGTCTCATGCATAAGGGAAAAAGTTAAACTGCGTTCCCTAAATGTCGCTCACACGATTCCATGCATTATTTTATTTCATTCACGAAAAAGAGGGACGACGTTTATATTCAATTTAGAAGCGTAGTGTATGCGCGACGCGTTTACAACCTAAATAGTTTTTTTAACAAATCACACAAATCTTTTACTGCAGCAATCTTTTGCAGCCTTAACAGATACATGAGAATGTAAAATATATCCTAACTACAATAAGCAACACTAATAGACAAGCGATGCCACGGAAAAAATGTTTTGTAATATTGTATTAATCTTGTTGAAGTTCTAGTATTATACGTCATTCAGTATGCAAACACCTTCACATTTATTAATATGAAATATTTTACGTGACTACCATCCGTTGATATCAAAATACGTCAAAAGAAACAATACACAAAAAAAGATATACTGTACCTAAGGTGAGCCTTCTCTCTTGGTTTAGGTACAGGAAACTCTGAGAGCAAAATCCAACTAATTTCCAAGTTTTCCACAGCCAAACATCAAGAATTGACCAAGATAAACCAACAGATACCCGATGTTTGTTTCAAGATTCCTTACTTGTTGATTAATACTTTTCTGTTCCGTTAATAAAGTGTTAACTTTTCCTTTTAATAAAAAACATCCCCACACGCGCTACTCGTTCTTGGAGAGACGGGCTTCTTCTCTGCGTTGAGCTCTTTTGCCAAAGGTCGCCCCTCCCATCGCCTGGCGAAGAGTAATGTAAGGATTGCTCAATTTGTCTGTGAAGCGTGACTGTTACCACTGCCCAAAAAGAGAACTGAAGAGTCTTACTTCCTACAGCTACTGGGTTTCATTTCTTAACGATAAAAGAAAACTGCTGAAACGTCCACCTTCTGCCTCTTCTTTATGGAGTGTTACAGTATACGGTTATTCTACCTGTATTCATACATTGGTATTTAGTATTTTACTCTCTCAGCATGTTTACAGTCCTTTCCTTTAGTTTCTCCACATCAGTCCTTACACACCTAGAATAAGAATTTTAAATTCAGATTTTTGTTATTGCTAACTTCTGATTTTAGGATAACCATATAGCCCAGTTTGATTTGATGCACTTGTCCTTCTATAAATGTAATTTCTGAAAATAATCCATATTAAATTATATATAACAAAGTTGAGTATGTGATAGCGTGAATGGTGGCAAAATGTTGCATTACTGTCTTTTCTGTCCCTTTTTTTAGTATTATAAAAGTTAAAGTAACAGAACAGAAGGAAAAGCGTTTTCAGCCAATAACAACTGGAACCCCTCCAAAAGCATGATGGAGACAGACACATTCCAGTATCCTGCAATAACTGTTTCCGGACTGTTTGGGTAGACAGTGACATTGCAGAAAAATTGAGTTTCTGCCATTGCAGTGTTTATGGGATTGCTTAAGAAAATGAAACAAATTACTTGGAAAATCTTTTGTTTTGCTGATCCTAGAATTGGAGTTTTGGTTAGTTTGTACCCTTATAGTAAGGAGTTCCACTCAGATCACTTCAGTAAAATGCTCACCTGTAAGCTGCTTTCAATAAAAGTGTTAGCCAAATAAATAACAAATGCTACTTTATAGAGCAGATCCTTGAACAGTGTTTTATTCCTGCCCAGCTCAGACTCCTGATAACAGGATTGCTACTGTCTTCTTCGATGTGAGTCCTTTGGCCTCTAGAATCACAGACAAAGATTAGAAACACACTCATGATAGTTAGCTGTGGTGTGGTTATCACTGCTGCTTCACACCTTCAGACCCCTGGAATCTCAAAATGGAGAGTTTGCACTGTTTTTGTTTGTCAAAGTACTTTGGTTTCCTACTGTTTGTCAGAGAGAGACATGCTGGCAGGCTGATTGGCTGTGCTGAACTGCCTCTTCCACCTCGAATAGGAGTGGGGCTCCATCTTCGTTAATCCGCATCTGGGGTAGCCCTGCTGCAATGTACAATGCTGACCCCAGATTAGCTGGGAGAAAGATGAAAGCAGAATGCTAATAATGGGCAAAATACATTGTGACAGTGGTCTGGACTGGGATGTCAAAACTCATTTCAGTTGTTGATTTTAGTTGTACTGTAGAATGTGTCTGCCTCTAATTCAGGTCATTCAGATAAAAGACTACTGTATCCTGTCGTATAACACTGCACCAATGCAGATAAAAAAAACAGAATCATTTACTTGTGTATTTCACATACACATTTCTGATTATTAGTAGTTTTGCTCTGTTTTATCTTTATTACTTTTATTAAGTTGTATTGTTGTTAATGTATTTATTCCCCTCCACAGAAAATGGGAGTATAATACCTCTATTCCCTATGCTTTCCGTTTTTTAACAATTTGTTTCTGTTGTCACCAAATCTGGTCTTCTTGTACAATTTTCAACACTATGTGAAAGTGAATCTGTACAAGCACTCTGGAGCTTCTGTTTACACAAAAGTTGGGGAGACAATGATCTTCAGTGTGTGTAACACCAATAATAACATGAATGGCATTTTTCAATTAGTGGTTTCCAGCTAGCACTTACACTACCATAATGTCTGAAGAAATATATAACTTGGGGGAAAAAATCCATTAGGGTAAGCTTGCATTCTTGTCACATTTACAGGACTGATCTCATCCAAACCTATATTCAATATGTGCTAATCTTTCAGAATCAGAACCACCAGAAGGACAGTGAAAATCAAATCGTTTTTCTAGGAAATGCTTTCCAAGACATCACCAAGAAAACATGTGCTGTACATTGCATTTTTGTCTGGGGGTGGTCAATGTGTGTGTTCAGGAAGTATATTGAGTAAGTTTGTCCACTCCAAGTAACAGCATTTTATAACTAATGTACAAGATCAAACAAGATCTAGTGCGATACTTTCACAGGGAAGATAGTACAATATTTGAGTTGATTTAGCTACAGGAAAAGTGAACAAAGAGTATCAAAATCTCACATCATTATTTTTACCGCCTTCCAGCTATTTAGCCAGAAAACACTTCCAGACTGTATTATCAAATGTCACTTTCTCAAGATTTTCACTTATGCATAAGATTTTTATTAATTTCTAGACTGTTCAGTGGCTGGGTTATAAGGCAGAAACTGTATTTTTTAAACATAAACTTTCATTTGATTACTAACCTAGACTGAAATTTTGAATGCTTCATCTCTCTATTTGCTAAACCCTACTAGCATTACATGAGAAAAGAAAACAAAAATCCAGTTTTTCTAATCACTACGTTTCCTCTTGAGCAATGACAGTGCTTGCAAAGTTCACACCAACCTTCAATTCAGCAGTGTGAGTAACTGTCTGGTTTCTACTGTGACAAAGTGGCAGGTTTCAGGCAGGAGGGAGTTTTGAGTCTCTGCGGCCAAAACACACCCTTACAATGTAAATATAGTAAGATTGGCCTCTGTCAGAGGCTGAAACAATAAAAATTAACTGGCAGCAAAATGCAGTAAACTGTATAAAGGAATTCTATTTAAGTAAAAGAAACTCCCCGTTTTCGAATGACCTCTGCCCATACACACCTTCTCCCAAATGCTAACATGAAGAATTAAGAAAAAAAAACATAATGGGAATATGGGATATAAATCAAAGAATACCTCAAAATGAATGACAGGAAATTTAGGTTATACCTTTATATATGCACTATATATAAGTTATGCTTAAAGTTAGTTACAGAATATAATGGTATCTTAAGAACATATACAGTACTTAATCAACTCAAATGTTGTATGGATGTCTGTAGACTGTATGAGATTGCAGTCAGGAGCTATTGTAAAGAGATGACTACACTCCACCTACTGGATGTGATATTCTATTGCCCTGTAGAGTACCATATTATATTATTTTAAGTTAAAAAGTTACTGTTTTAAACAAGAATCCCCAATAACAGTTTATATTGCAAACAACAATTATTATAGTACATTGGTTCTCAATACCGGACCTGACGTAGCCTTGTCTGCTGGCTAGTGTTCCAACTACAGTAGGTCCTTAATCACCAGTGCTAATTTTTGCTCTAGTTAAACAGCACTACAGTATTTCAAATACAGACCTTTATGCAGTTTCTCCTCAACTTGCCAATTAAGAATTTGCTCACTTATTTCAGACTAAACAACTGTTAATAGATGAACCACTGGTGATGAACACACAGCTTCCATTTAATGACACTATTAGTCAGTGTTTTTAATTTCTGCTTAAATCCAATTGGTTGCATTTCAGTTAACAAACCTGATTGATGGTTAATTAGCACAGGGTTCAGACAATTACAAATCTAGATTTTTAAGAAATAAAAGCTAATGGGTTTTTAGTGGGTTATTAAGGGATGAATTGGAACACAAAATGGCAGACATGGTTATACTCCAGCACTAGAATAAGAAACTACTGATATAGTTAAACAAAAAAGACACCCAAAGCTGTATTGACATTTAAAGACTTTATTGAGTAAAACCAAGCATCATCCCTGTCAGTATTCTTAAAGCTTTGCACACAAACTGCCACTTTGCAATTCTCAGTCACATGCTTGTCAGTTAAAAATAAGATAATCTGGGATGTCTGCACTGCAGTTTTACACTTCACCTTGAGAGTGCTGCAGGCAAATTTGGCAAAGCAATTTTTATACCCTCAACATTGTTCTCAGTCAAACCATATTCCTTTGAGTCACTGCCCCAGGAAAGCATGTCCTTTTCGTTAATGTTTCTTCGCTTGGATTTGAAAGCAGATGTGAGAACGTTTGGTGATGGGGATTGTTTATTTCATTTAAACAAGGGAGGTGAATATTAGTAAAATGTCTATGAAACCAAGAAATTCCTACTATACTTAAAGCATGTTTAATACTATTACTGCTGTTACTGCAGTACTAATTTATTCCATACCATGGGCACAGTGAAAATGCTTTTTCGAAGGAAACAGTTCCAACTGTTCAAGGTGTATTAAAAAGATGTACTTTCTTTTGAAACTTCACCCAAATTGTCACGACCACCAGCCAGCGGAGATCATCTCACAAAAGAACCAGTACCAACAGCGGGTTAATAATAAGCGCAAGCAAGCAGCACTATTTAAACCATCCTAAGTCACTTCCTGCTGCTCAGTATTGAGTCTACTCCTGGAGAGCTCTACGTGGCGTTTATTCTGTATCTCGCATTCTTCTAGATTCTGGACTTCCCTTTTGCCTTTCGACTTTGGACCTCGCCTCTCGTTTAGGGTTGTTTGCCACTATTTGTACTTCCTGGATTTCGAACCACCTTTCTTCTTTTGACCACAGACTCGCCTTACTTATCAGATTGTTTGCCTGCTTCGTCACCTACCTACTCCTGCATCTGCACAGGATCTGTATACCTTTTCACTGAGGATTCCTGACACAAATTCAGTTGCCAAACGTGGAAAAAAGACAGGAAACCTTATTGTTCTTGATGTTTCAATAAAAGCAGAGATGTAGTGGTGGGCTAAAATAATCATCAGATAAGGTACAGGTAGCTCAGGTGGCCCAGAAAGTTATACAGTCCCTCTTGTGTAATGAAGTATTTTAAATACAGGCCACAAATGTGAAAGGAAAGTAATTAATCATGTCTTCAAGTAAAAACATTAAATTTTAAAACTAGCACATGGAATCTGTTAGCTCTACAAGTGTTTTAAACCACATACAAAATAAAAAAAGTTAACCTGATTATATTTCCAGACTTATAGTAAGTCTATGTAGGTCATGAAAATATCTGCATATTGCTTTTAAAACCATGACTGAATGTTTTAACAGATTTTTCAAGGGATTCCAAAGGAAGGGAATTTAATGTAATCTAACTGTTATGTTCCCTTCTTTAGTATCTCTTCCCTCAGCTACTTTTGCACAAAGCAGAAGCCTAGGGTCTCTATCCTGATGCATTCTTTATCACTTATGACTCTCCTTTCACTTTGGAGCCTGTCAGCGAAGTGTACCCTCAAGTAAGCCATCGTTGAAGATAGCCAAAAAATAGTCCCAGTTAAGAACCTAATTGCCCTGATGTAAAGAAAAATAAAAAAGTTAAATCCAGAAAGAATTTAATCACAGTCGGAAGGTCATGAACTTAATATGTGGCCTAAGATAAATTCCCTAAGAATTAGCATCCAACCAGTGTACTGGTTCAATACTCATCATTAATAGCTACATTCACTGGATGGAAATGCCTCGGTTAGATAAAATACTGCCTTTGCTTTTGTGTTACATCTTGTTCTTTGTATGTTTAGAACAAAGTTAAATAAAATTCCCAAAATAATCCTGCTTGTAGTATACTACCGTTCTTTTAAAACTGGTAACGCACTTGGCACCTCTTGTTAAAGACCTTTGTCATAAGTGCCTTTTTCAGTATTTAAATATAGGAAGCATTTTACCTTCTAAAACACTTTGCTAAAAAGAACTATGCACTCAGATCCTGCTTTTCAAGTCAAAAATGTCATGCGGCAAAGACTATTGTAGTGCTTGTAGGGCAAAAGTGCCTTGATTTCTAGTTTTAATATTGGAAGCATTACAGATCACATTGTGTTATCTGTAAAATCAAAAGAACAAAATCAAAATATATTTTTTTGGTTCTGTAGATCATGGAAAGTATCTCTATGGCTTGATATGCCATGGCGAACTGAAAAATCTATAGGTGAAAACAATTATCCTGAATTATTTAAATATCTATTATCGTAAAGTATTCAATAAAAACCTAGAATCTAATTTTAACACTGAAGGTCACACATTTTTGTTCCCACTATATTTTAGTAATTTGTAGTAGTATTAGCTGCTAATATTGCATTATTGAGAATACGTGACATCTACAACTTTCTATACACAGTCTGATAGTTAGTCCATGTGAGTAGCGAGCCTTCAGCAGGCTGGAAGGTCAGTATGTCTGTGGACTGAGAATGAAGAGACGGTCCTCCTCCTTTCGAATCCACTTCAGCAGCTTGTTAATAGCCATCACAGCTTGTGCTTTGGTCCCCAATGGACTGAAACAGAGGTAGAGCTCAAAGCCGCTGGTCACCTGCAATTAAATGAGAGGCTTAATGTCTCAACACTTATAACATTCTAGAACGTTTGGAAATTTGTGATCTGATGCAGGCGTTATTAACATTCTCTATTGACAGTCTTTTTAAAAAACAAAAGAAGATATCAAGAAATAGACATGCTAGAAAAGGCCCATCTTTTAGCATTAATAGATGTTAGCTTTTGGAAATGTTAACTGTGACCAAAATAAACGTTCCCAAAATCAGGAAGCATTAAGCAGCCCTGAAAGTATATTTGTTTGTATAAAGGCTAACTTTTCTTTAAAATTTGGACCTGCGAAAGGAGAGTGAGAAAAGGAAGACAGACTCCGCCCGTACACAGCACTGACTTTACTGGAGGTTCAGTTGGAGGAGTGGGGCATCCCACGCGAATATCAATGTAAGTCAACAGGCAGTACTGTTTCACCAGGAACCAAGGCCCCCATTCCCAATTAATCATAACCCTGCCCTTAGCATCTCTTTGTTTGCTGCTGGCTGAGAAATGTCAGTCACATCCAGCTAGTTTCATGATCCAAGCACAAACTCACGATGAACGGATTACAGGGCTCAATTTGCACTTGGAGTGAGTGCTTTAAATATCTAGGTTATCTTTAAATAACTGGTTAAAATTGTGTCTTCAATCAAACAAATGACAGGACTTAACCACCAGTATAATGAATTATTGTGACTAATAATCAGTGAATGTATGACTGGGATTTCAAATCACAATAGTTTCCTTTTGACTTTTTCTCTGGACAGTTTATTTGTTCAGTTAATCTCCTCCTAAACAACCATTACGCCAATAACCTGACATGAAAAACATAAATCTGATAGTGAACCCTGGGGTCCATTTATTTGTCCATTTTTTTAATCATACCGCCAGTCTAAGGGAATAATTTAACTGCTTTTTCATCTATTATGACAACAAGATCCATCCACTTTCTAACTGCTTTATCCAATTTGGGGTTACAGTGGAGCTGGAGCCTATGCTGTAAGTAATGGGCATAAGGTACTGTAGGATACAGTATATATCCCAGATGGGATTCAAGTTCTTCATAGGGCACACACCAGGGCCAGTTTTACCAGAAGATGGTTAACCTATCAGTATGTCTATGGACTGTGGAATTGAACCCAGGGCCCCAGTGCTTCTAGCAATGCTAACAACTGTGCCACCACACTGCCCTAAGAACATCATACAGTATATATCACAACAACAAGGCATTCTCCCTCTGAAGAGTCTCACCCAGGCCAGCAGGTTCTCCCTCTCCCCACAGTGGTAGATGGAGCGCAGTGGGCGTGTGGTGTGATGCACTCGGCTGTGCAGGTACTGGTATAGACCCATCAGCCTCTCCTGCTCTTCCTCAGTTTGGTATGGTGCAGGGAGTTCGGGGCTGGCAAGCAACAATGTAAAAAAAAAATAACAGCAATCATTCCTGACCTTTTTTTTTTTTCTTCATTTCTGATTCATTCAATCCATCCATGTGAGTCAGCTGATTATCCTTTGGATGTTTCTTACATTGCAAAGCTACGTTTTACTGTGTGTTTCTTAAAAATCTGGAAAAATGAACACCTACAGTCATAGTAAGAAATCAGTACGAGAAGAAAATGAGAGGAACAAGTGAATTCCAAAGATATTGCTTACACATTCTCTAATATTATTAACAGACTTCAGATACCCTCAGACTTGCTTTAGTTATAAATAGAATATTGCTATGAGGCCTATAAATTAGTTACAGGCTTAATGCACCTAAGGGATACTGAGCTCTTTATATACAAATTAACACCAGCCATTTGATTTTCGCATTAACATTAAGATCCTGTACCTGTGATTTAATTGCTTACTTTTGCTCAATTAGTGGTTAATAAATATAAAAAAACATCTTGAAACCTGGAATGGATTCATTCACCTCATTAATGACAAAGTGTGTAGTCCTCTTCTCATGAGAATCTGCGCACAGCACTGTAACACCTATCCTCCAAACAACTCTCCCTCCCAATATGCACAGTACATTAAAGTATAATAATATATAGTATACTGAAGAAGTGCGTGATATGCTTTTTGGGTCACAAAAGAATAACAACAACAACAATAATAACAGGCCACAAATATAGTGCTAAGTAGTCATTCCGGAGTCAACTTGTATTAAAATAAATATTTCAATGTTGTGATAATTTCATGTTCGCGTCATAGCGTGGCAATGTGCCATTGAACAAAAGAACAAGCAGATGTCTGAAAGGAGGGAGAATCCAGAGGTCTGTGTTGTAAAAGGACACGCCGACTGCAGGACTCCTCACCTGGTGTACAGCCCAGAGCTCTTGGACTTGTAGACGAAGTGCCTGAGTTCTGGAATGCCCACCTGGGAGACGGGATAGCTGGGGGACCGGGTCGCCTCCTGCAGGGCCGGGTAGGCACTGCGACGGCGGAGTCGCTCCAGAAAGCGCTGCTTGCAGTCAGACAGGTTGAAGAAGTCCTCACGGTCAGTGGAAACCAGGATGAGGCAGAGGTCAGAGGCTGGCTCCAGGTAGGAGATATGGGCGTGGAAGAACCCAGCAGTGTTGAACTTGGGCAGGCAGATAGGGGTCCAGCCCTCCCCCTCACGGAAAGAGCTGGAGGAACCCACCAGGTTGAAGAGCAGGTGGAGGTCCATGTGGTGAAGATACTGGTCCTTCTTTCGCACCAGCGTCACTAACTGGTTCCCAGCGAGCAGAATGGAGAAGACCAGGCTTTTGGATTTGGCGGCCTGCAGGCTGGAGGAGATGACATCGCGGGTGGAACTGGGGAGGGGGAGGCAAGAGACGGCGCACAGCAGAAGTCCGGGATCCCGGTCCAGGAGCTTGAGAAGGTTGTCGGTGAGATGCTCGGAGCCAGCCAGCAGCCGCCGCAGGTCGTAGTTCTGCTTGCGCTGGAAGATATGGTTGAGCTGCGTGAGGGTGAGCAGGCTGACGATCTGGTAGTAGATGTAGAGCAGCTCTCTGGTCAGCTCCCTCTCTGACTGTCGAGTGTGCGCCACCCCCACCAGCACCAGGGGGCTCTTACGCAGGAAGACCACCTTGTAGCCGTCTGGAAATCACAAACGCAGAAAATTACAACCTGGGATAAGGCGATATATCCTGGGACCAACTGCTTCACATTCAAGTACATTACACATTCTCTAAAAAGATGATGAAACCAAAATGACGTTCAAAATGGAGGAATTAAATACAATATGAATTTGAGAAGTTTTTATTAAAAGATACAAATATGGTGTTACTGGATACCAAGGGAGTAGAGATTTGTAAAATAAGGCCTTTTCTGGTTCATTAAGATGGAATGGCAACATGTATTTTAGATGTATCTAAATCTCCTAAAAACAAGCTGCATTAGAATAAAGAATGAAAAAGGAGCCCCACTTCCCTTTTTTACTTTGTACATTGGTTTTACGTAAATGTACAAAGTTCCAGAGGAAGAAAAAAAACATTCAACATTCTTTTGTGATTAATTCTTAGGTTGAGGATAATGTTAAGCTTAAGAGTCTCTGCTACATCTAAAATCCTTCACTCATATTTACCCAGAACTGAGGAATGTTCTTATAAAAATTCTCTGGATTTTAAAAATTCTCCCAGATGTTGAGAGAAAGTACAGATTACCCAGTAAGGATAGTACTAGTACTGTGCTATAAAAATAGCCTTTCCATTTCAGCAATTTCCTTCTGTGTTCCACTTTCTGATACTGATCAGTTAAGTTTCATTTCTGAATCTGATTGAAATCATAGAGCCCATCATCAGTTAAGACATAAAAAGTATCCCGTACAATGAAGAACTTGAACTGAAGTTAAATTGAGCTACAATGAAGAAAAAGAACTCTCATCTTTGGAACGATACATCTTTGTCTTAAAGATTAAACATTACAACATCCAAGAAACGCATTCAAAATTGTGCGTAGGAGCTCGTGTCTTGGCTCCTGTTCCATCTCATGAGTCAATTTAAGCTTTGCTTTTAGCTGCCCAGCCCAAAAACTGGAGTTTACAACAAACGTTTGGGAGAGATGACAGCAGCCAAGTTCAATTTGCCTCAGCTGTCCTAAATTGCAAACATGACATACTGTATGTCATGTCTCAATTCATAAGTACACCCCTTTACTCCTTCAGATTCATATTTCGCATCCCTCCTCCATCTCATCTCCACCTCCCTGGTCACTGCTCGCTCTACATTGGCCCTCCGCCATACCAGTTAAGCCAAATTTACTGTGACTAAACAGACACTCAATCACTTTTCAATACGTTATGTACAAGTGAACGGAAATGCTCTGAACTGAAAAGGGAACAAATGCAATTACACGACACCAGCAACCACCAAGCCCTCTCACCAGCATGGATGGACCTGATGACGTTCTTCCCAGCTTCCACAAAGGACACCAGAGCCATCATCACCCCCATGGTACTCGACAGTGCCTCCTCCGTGCCGTAGCGGGAGTAGATGGGCTTTCCTGCCTCGCTCAGCACGAAGACGTGCTTCCGCCGCCCGCGCCACGCCTCGCTGGTCACGTCCTCCTCCTCTGCCCTCCCGCCAGCTGGGGCCTCCGGGGCCTGCTCCTCCTCGGGGCCCACCGGCTCTGCCTCCGGCTGCTCCCGGTCCCCCAGTGGGGTCCCGAGCCCAGAAGCGGGCCCCGAAGGGTCCGTGTCCTCGCCTTCTTCGCCGTCGGCAGTAAGGTCCTCAAAAGAGCGCGTGTGGACAAACATGGCATCGTCTTGTCCTGCACCTGTGAAGTATTAGTATTGATTACTGTTAGACTTCTTCCTCTCCTGTATATGTGTAAACTATCATTTTTAAGGAGATTTCCATAAGCTGGAATCATTGTTTTCAATAAACCTTAGTGAGGGAATTCTTTTTAAACCCTCTCCCCGATTATCCATTTTCTTGGAATACCACACTGGCCTTTTTGCTTTTATTCCAGCTGCTTCTTTAATAAACACATGTAGATAAAGGCTACCGTGCTCAACAATAGAGGGGTCAATTGTAATGTCTGTTACTAGTCTCTGACTGAACAGAACTTTTTCATGGCGTAAAACGCCAATAGGCTAATAGGATCTAATAGGAATCACTGTACTGAATGAATCATCCTGTAATCTTTCTCTATGCTAATCGCATCCTGTTCATAAAAATAATTTCTATAACAGGGCATGCTCCTTGCATTCAATTTTCTATTAAGAGGCCTTTGAACATAGAGGAATAAGTATAAACATGTTGTATGTATATGTGACAATTATGCTTTTTTAATTATTCAGTATAACAAGTAATGTGAAAATGATGTTCAATGAAAATGTCAAGAATATGAGAAAAGATATGACACATGGGTGCTAACAAATGGCTCATCTAGAGCTCCGGTAGTCATCCTTTAATCGTACAGCTCCTCTCCCATAGATGTGGTTGTCATATTACATCTACCGTAGTATGACCCTGAGAACTTTACAGTACAAGAAACAAACCCCCATGCAGTGCATTACCATCTTCAATGAAATACTTAAACAAAAGTGTAGTACGTAAAAACTCCAAAAGGGCTAGATGATAAATTTGAAATCACTCCCGGAGCTTTTTCTAAAGCTGATCGTTCAGCTGTCTCTTGGAAGAAAAAAAAAGAAATGGTGAAATGGCACAAAGATATATAACATCTTTGCAGACATTTAGCATGGTTACGGTATTTATTTAGATGAATTGCCATGACTGCATTATAGTTTAGTGAACACAGAACTGTTGTCAAGAAGGATTCTGTCATCTACATCTGCAATGTGTATTTTTCAGAATATAGGTTTTTTTTTTATTTATAATGGGTAACACTGCCAATTGTGATAGAGGAGGGAGGGGCTGCATTCCTGATGGATTAATCTCATTAGGATGATGCACATTGAGTATGACAGAGTATCTTGTTAGTGCAGGTTTTTGCTGACTTTTTCTGGATCTAGAACAGGTACTAACACAAAACACTTGGCACACCAGTACAGTGTAAATTTCCCTGTGAACTTCTCCCATGGGATGTTCGTAAAAGAGGATGAAAAATGAATCTCTCTTTCTTGGACACACAATAGGACAGTCTTGTCCAGCTGCTACCTAACACAGCAGTCCAGATGTAGGGGCAATCTGTTCTTATAAAAGCAAATACAGGAAAACAACCAGCAAAAGACATATTGATTGAATCTAACATCCAGGCTATCTATACAAAAATGTTATTTTTTTGTGCAATATCATTTACTGGTCTGTGTAATGACTCAGTTCTGTGTTTTTCTACAAAGATTACAAAGTCTTCTAAAAGGATGCTTCAAAGTAAACTGGATTGAAAGAGATGGGCATCTACAGCAGTAACCATACTGATGATATCATAGATCTTAAAAGAAAAGCTTTTTAGAGAAAAGAAAAGTTTCTTCTATGATACCATAAGTGGTTGGGCAATTTTTATGCCCAATTTTAAGCCCAAATTGTATGCTTTAGTCTAAGCAATACCACATCATTTCCACTTGTGCCCCCTGTGTCATGTTTCTCTGTTAACTCTAAAGAAGTCCTCAGCATTGACTTTGTCAATGCCTTTGAGGATTTTAAATAATTGTATCAGGAGATCTCACAATCTTCTCTGTTTATGGTTAAAATTGCTTTTTTTTTCAACCAATGTAAGACATTCCTTTAAGTCCTAGAGTTGCCCTTCTCTGGACACACTCCAAAGTAGCGTTATCTTAACATAAGGAGTGTCATAACATAATAACCAACATTATATATAACTTTCTAAATGCACAGTTCCTTAACGTTTTTTAAACCTACATTTTGTGACAATCACTCAATGACATGAAGTGTACTTCATTACATCTCACGTCTCAAATGTACACCGTTTATATGTCTCGAATAAAAAGATCAAATGCCCAAATGTGACAATTTCAATACACAGAAGGCATGAATGCATAAATGCCATAATTTCAGTTCACTGATTGAAAATAGCAGATTATTGTAACTAGATTAATTAAGAGGAGGTGGAGAATAAGATTAATTAGCAGAGGTGGAGAAATTCACATGCTTGGGCACCTGTGCATTAGGTGTACACTGACGCATGAGCAGAAATATCTACCTGGCTCTGTTCCCTCTACAAGTCCAGGAGTGGGACTGTCTGATCTCTCTGCGCGGAGTTTGCCCACTGGAGCCAAGCTCCCATTCTGCGTCTCCCAGGCCACCTTCTTATTGTGGACATCGGCCGCCATGCCTGTAGTGAACTGCTTTCAGTCTCCAGAAACAAATGCCTACAAAGCAAGAAGCCACTTGTTCAGTAAAAGGTGCCGTTAACCAGCTCTTCCTATCCTGCTTTCCTGGGGAAGTGACAGAAAGACAACTGCCAGTAACTTGAAGACTATTCAAAGGTCACTCATCACCGCAGTTTCCAATAAGCCCTTAAAACTTGAACACAAAGTGTAACTTTTTATTGGAATTTAGGCATATGCAACACAGGCTTAATATGAATAGTATATTTCTGGTAGATTTTCTGCAAATACACATACAGTGTATGCATACAGTATAAAATTATATCGAATACATCTAAAGCCCACAATATTTCATTACTAGAGTTAAAACAGTGAGGGTGAAATTCATTTTACATGGTCTTTTTCGTCACTTACACATTTAACTTTATAACATATTTTACTGTGACTCTTTGTGCTACTAACAGTTGTTATCATAACAATAAGAAACAGCAATAATAATTTACTCAATTTCTGTCTACACGATACCTCAGCAATCCCCCAGTTTCGCTTTCCATTATGTTAGTTCACAGAGGTGACATTGTAACGACAACAACAAACTTGGATCTACTCCACTGATAAAAATGAAACTTTGTAAATAGCGGCCTTTGGCATTACAAACTACTCAGTTTGGATACGAATCAGCACTCTGAATAAAACAAGGTGTAGCTACCCTTTGTTTTCTTTACCAAAGACTAATCTCTTTGGCATGGGTTGCTGAATTTGGGTAAATAAAATCTTCTCGCTGTACTCTAGAAATGTTTCACAAACCTTGCACTGATCCAAGTGAAAGTACATCTTTTATTCGCCTTCCCTTACCACGGCTGTAAAAAACGAACCCTACGAATCTGAATCTGTCATAGGAGTCACTAGCTCCAATACGGAAGTACCCTGGACTATGGGAATTGAAGTTTTCAAGTGTGGGGTACTTGTAATTTATTATTTTCGAAAACGAACCTAAATATAGTAGTTTTTAACTCAAGTCGCAGTCTGTATGACAACAATTATGCATTGTAATATTCATCCAATTTTGTCGTTTATAGGTTCTGCATACTCCACAATCTATCTACACGCGACGCACATCACACAAGAAAGTGAGAGAAATAAAAATTTCAGACACACGAATTTATCGTTTCTCCATTACATCGAAAAAAACATTTCAAAAGAAAAATCTAGGTCTATGAAATATAGTGACAAAAGCAGGGTGAGAATTAGTGGAAACTGGAAATTTTCTAACTACATCTCCCATCAGGCTTCAGACATTACAAATTTCCGGTTGGTCGTTCTGTTTCCGCTATACTCCATGTTGTTTAACTTCTAAGAGGCGGTGTGGTGCAAGAAGAAATATTCTGTATTTAAAAAGGTTTGTGGATTATTTTCAATGTTCTGTTTTCACATATGTAAAAATGCGTGTAATCGAAGGTTTTCCCGGGGGGAAAATAGTCATTTTGTTATAATTGCATATTTCGTGAGGGTCGTGGTCTATTGTGATGGAGAAAGAGATCGAAATCTAAAGATACCATCCGCAGACATGTCTCTTTAACCTAGTTACGATAATGTAGTTCCCGTGATTTACTGGTAATCTGTACAGTGTAAAATATGGTGGCTCAAGCTGTACTACAATATAAAGCCAAGTCCAGCAGATGTAGTTACACCTATTTCACACGCCCTGGATGCTTTATAGGGCCTGCGTGCTACAGTTCCTACTAGTCTCGGAGCCTAGTGCGGTTTGAGACCGAGAGAAAGTGCTGCAGTGATCAGTTAATATCTAGCTGTGTGCTGTCATTAAATATTTGGTACAGGAGCGATCTTTATAAGTTCAGCTGGGAAATTTCTTTTGGGTCAGTATCAAAACATAATGACAGACTGCTTTGATTTTGTGTCTCGTCTTCAGCACGGCACCGGTATGTGGTTCGCCTCCAAAAAAATCGAAATATGCCTGTCCAACAAAAAATCGTGGATGGCGTGATTTAGTTGTTTAAGTGTTTTTTTTTTACGAATTGTAATGAACAAGCTTTTCTTCGTCACCTGGCTTTAATAAAGATGCTTCTATTAAGATTGTAAGGTGGCAGTATTGTCTGCATGCGTACACCAGTCATGAGGTTCAGTGTTAAAATTAGCTGTAGACCTTTGGTTCCCATATGCGCCAACTAATTAAGGAACAGAATCCAGCCTGGCGCACAAGTGGTGCGTTTGGATTTTGCAGCAGACCAAAACGTAATTGCTGGCTAAGGTCTCTAGTTGGGGCCTATCTGTTAATTTGTTAATGTTGTTTTATTAGCCCTATACAGTTTCTTGCATTAGGAATTCGTCTTTTTGCATACCCCAGCTTGCTCTCCATGAGACACAGACACACAGACAGGGAGAGAAGCTCGGGGTCAGAGCGCAGGGTCAGCCATTGTACAGCGCCCCTGGAGCAGTTGGGGTTAAGGGCCTTGCTCGGGGGCCCAACGGAATAGGATTCCTCTGCCGGCTGCGGGATTTGAACCGGCAATCTTCCAGTCACAGGCATAGATCCTTAGCCACAGAGCCACCACTCTGCCCCGATTCTGCAGAAGGGAAAAGTGCTCATAGCAGGAGGGTTTGCCCTAGTGCCATTGCCACCTGTGTTTGTCCATCACCACTTGACCAGCTAGTCCTTGAAAATGAGAATTAGCTCTCAACCGAGTTATCTGTCAAGACCTAAGCACTGTTGGAAAATCAGTTGCAACATTAATGATTAATAACAGAATTTATTCCCCCCATAAGTGAGGGAGAAAGCATTAAATCAGAACCAGTATATGCATCTTTTTTCAGTATTGGTACTTATCATTAAATATCATTAATGCTATTCCAGCTGTGTTCTTTTGTTTGTGTTTCAGAAGTGTAGGCCTCCATTGGAACAGCGTGTCTCACTGTTTTCGTAGATACTGTTGACTTGGCTTGGAAAAGAAAATGTGGGATGGCCCCCGGCCTGGCCCGCGTGGGCCTCCATTTCGGTAAGTCATACTGAAGGAGTGTCAGGTCAGCCGTTCGTCGATTTCTGAGACTGCTCAGAGCGCATGCCGAGAAATTGAAACCTCTCACATTTGTGTTGCAGGGTGATATGCCAGCAGCCATATCACCCTGGAACTCCTGCTGAAGCTAAGCAGGTGTGAGTCTGGTCAGTACCTGCGAGACGTCCTGGGGAAGAACTAAGGTTGCTGCTGGAAGAGGTGTTAGTGGGGCCAGTAGGGGGCGCTCACCCTGCGGTCTGTGTGGGTCCTAATGGCCCAGTATAGTGACGGGGCCACTACACTGTAAAAAGGCACTGTCCTTCGGATGAGACATAAAACTGAGGTCCTGACTCTCTGTGGTCAGTAAAAATCCCTGGGGGTTTCTTGAAAAAGAGTAGGGGTGTTACCCCGACGTTCTGGACAAATTTCCCTTTGACCTTTACAAGTCATGGCCGCCTAATAATCCTCCATCACTGTTTTCCTCCCCACTGATAGCTGGTGAGTGGTGAGCGTACTGGCATACTATGGCGTATATACCACTACTATCCAGGTGGGTGACAGATTGGTAGTGGTGGAGGGGAGTCCCCATTACCTGTAAAGTGCTTTGAGTAATTATTATTATTGTTATTATTTTTGCAATGTTGATGTGTTCTGAAGTGTGCTGTAATCTCATCAATCCATCTGTTTCACAGTGTGCCCCATTAGTAGTTTTTAATCAAATATTCAGTTTTAATTCTTCTGTCGTCCCAGCCTCTGTGTATATTTTGTTTCATTATGTTATTTTATTTTTCTGTTGTCGTCGCAGTGGGGACTCCCATGGAGAGAGGTTTGATGCCCCAAAACGGCCTTTTCCAGATTTTGGAGGGACTGGTAAAATGCCATACAGACCGATGGAAAGGCCTCCTCCAGACATAAGGTTCCGACATGAACATCCAGGAGACGGGATGGGGCGAGATTTTAAACCTATGGACTTAAGAGGAAGAGATCCTCGTATGGACTTCCCTAGACGAGATAAGCCTGAGTTTGGAATGAGAAGAAGACCAGAAATGGGAAACAGGTTCAGGGGACCTCCAGATTTTAGGGGACCTCCAATGCATCATTTAGATAATAGCAGAAGAGATGGAGAACCTATGCATATGGGCGAGTTTGATGAGCCAAATGTGGATTTAAGAGAGAGGCATGGAATGGGCAGACCCGAATTCAGTACACCTCCTGTGGATTCCAGGAGAAGACTTCCTTTGGAAATCTTGGGTAGAGAAGGTCATGGACTAAATATGAGGGGAAATGATAAGGGTGGTGGGGATTTATGGAATAGAAACAGGCCTTGGGGGGACATGGATGGTGCAGATGGGTCAAATAAGGATTTGCCACAAAAAAACAGAGAATTTCCTGACTTTAAGAGGCAAGGTATACCTCCTGTAAACTTAAGGGGAGGGAGGTTTGATACTGACATGGACCTCAGAGACAGGCGTAGACCTCCTTCAGAATATATGGAGAGGGAAAGATCTCCTGTTGGTTTCAGGAACAATGATGGTGTCCCATTTGATGCGCGGGGAAGAGGTGAGTTGCCCCCAGATTTTGGAGAATGGAATGGACCAAACTTTAGAGGTGGGGATGGAAATTACAGAGAACAAAGAGAACCACCTATGGGTTTCAGAAATAGGGATGAGCCTATTCATTCTCAAGATATCAGGGAAAGGGGGCCTTTTCCTATGGAGCCCCATATGAAGGGGGGTCCTCCTTTTCCAAAGGGCAGGGATAGATTTCCTCAAACCAGAGGTCCAGAGAGAACTCCTAGAGGGACTCATGACTTCCAAGGCCGAGAGGGAGGTCCCATGGATTTCCCAGGGGCTAAGGAAGGCCCCTATACTTTTCCTCCTCCAGAAAGAGAGACTTTGGGTTCACAACCATGGAAGAGCAGTGTCCCTTTGGACAATTTTATAGGTAGAGATTTGCCACCGTTTGAGCACAGAGGTTTACTAGAGACTCCATTAATGCACACAGACCCACCGCCAATTAACTCTACCTTGGGAGAGGAGCCAAAAGGTGGACCAAGAGATCAGGAGAAGAATGGGTCATTCAGAGAGAAACCTCCTTATTTTGTGGGTGCCGATTCTCTCGATTCTCTCCCAGTTATGGACAGTTTGTCTCAGGAGCACCACAGCATTGAGGATCGTTCTACATTCCCAGAACCTAAGGAAGCAGCAGCAGGTCCAGAAAGAGAAGAAACAGTAGTAGAGACTGAGAAATTCATGGACAAAAGGAGTAATGAATACAAGGATCAAGACTACAGAGACATTGATTACCGGCTCGCATCCAGTCATACCTTTGATTATGAGCATGGGGAACCTCAAGGGCTGGAAAAAACTTCCAAACCAACCAAACCTGTCCCACCTCCTAGATCAAGTGACTTCAGTCTTCAGGTGAGACCACAGGTATTTCTCAGTTTATCAGGGCTGTGATTGATGTACTGTAACGCTTCTTGTTTTCATTGCTAATATCTCAATAAATAGACCATTTTAAACCCAGTTTTAAACGTTATTACTATAGATTAACACATGTAATTGAATAAATAGATAAAAAAAGAGGCACTCCTTTTGTGTTTTTAAGATGCTCAAATTAGTATGTTGTATTGAACTGTTAAAACTAGCCATCTGTTTTGTTTATGTTCGATGTCTTTTTTTTATTTTTATTTAAGGATCAAGATTACAGAAGTGCGTCCATTAAGGAAAAGGTCTCTCAAACCATTTCCATCACAGGGATTCCTAAAACTGCTACAATGGAACAGGTACATACTTTAATATGTTATTATGTGTCAATGGAGATACAGGCATATATCATGTTGTACAAAAAAGTACAGATTTATGTTATTTAAATTTATTTGTATAGCAATATTGCAACTCAAATGATTTGTGTGGAAAACGAATTATATTGAAGTTTCTAAATGTGTTTATTGGAGTTATGGATATCATGAGCTTCATATATGACTGCAATCTGACTGAACAGAAAATGTAATGGCAATTGTTTTACATTATTTGAATTGGTTTACATACCTTGATGCTTTCTGTTTTTAAAGCAGCAGTTCTCCAGATTATTATTAGGTTTGGTTTGCAAAACTATTTAAGAGGACCTTTTGCTTCTTATAATGAATATGTTTTACGTTTCTTATCCCCTGCTATTCATCTTCATATTTTGGGTAAGATGGCAGGATATTGAGTCGCCATTCTTCCTGTTGGTGCTTTTGTATTATTTGATTGTTATTTGACCTTTTATTTTATGTAATTACAGAAATCGGTAGAACTTTGTGCTTTTTAGACTATTCCGTTGGCTAAGGAGAAATCTGCAAAACGTAGGATGCAGCACATCGATCAAATTGTGTACTCCAGTTACGGAAGGTTCTGACGCAGCACTCTTTCTGTGTGCACGGTCTTCACAGTGCTTAATTCTTTAAGCATTTCAGTGCAGAAAAAAATAGTCTTGCCAAATATTAACCAACCACGCAAATGTGCCTTGAACTTGCATGACATTCACTCTTAAATTAGGGTGTAGTACTCTCTCTTTGTGGACCTAAAGGTTATTTCAGTTGTCAAAATCTTTAAATTATTGTAGGCGTTCAATACCATTTCCCACAATATTTCCAAAATAATTAAAACACTTTGTACTGACTGCAGAGTCTATTTTTTGTTTAGTGGTCATCATCTGATTATAAATATGAATCAGAAGTCTTTTATGTTTGAGGCTTCTGTTTATAAAAAGTAGCTTACATTTTAGTACAAAATATATAAAGACTGTGACTTTATTTCCGAAGCTTCTCAGTGTGGTTCTTCATTGTTTTCCAACTTTTTGATCAATGAGGAATAGTCTTTTCTAAAAATAAACATAACTGAGCATCGCCCAAGCCGAACCCTTCACGCTTTTGAATGAAAGTTTCTTGTTCTTGAAACGCTTCAGGGATTTTAAAAAGTTTCGTTAACACATTGATTCATTTGATATTTGCAAGCTGACGAATATTTCATGCTTGTTGCCTTATTAAACTTGTACAGACAAACTTTGAGTTAAAGTAAATTAGACATAATTATGTCAACACAATGTTCTCATATTTAAAGAGCTCATTGGAGGGGTTTTATTCAGACTGTTTCATAAACCCTTTATGATCTGTTTGGTTTGAGTTCGGGTGGTAATCTGAAAAATCTCTCCAATGGTTCTGAACAATCTTTTGGGTGGTTTTGTAAAGTCATTGTTACATATTCTGCAGCAGTTGCAATTTGTAACCTCTGAAAGTGTCGTGACTACAATTTTGGGAGACATATTCCTGTGTAACTTTTTCAATACCTTTTCATTTTTTTGTTTTGTAGATCCTTTCTGCGTTTGCTGTTCGAGATGGAGTTCCGATACCTGGCATGAAAATAAAGGCTGTTGTACCAGGTGAGAGAGCAGAACTACAGAGAAATAGAGTGATTAGAACAAGGCTTGAAGGCCATTTCGCTGCACGACATTCATCTTAGTTGTCTTTCGAAAATCTTTAAAGTTTGTTCTTCGAAGTCTTGTCGGTTCTAATGATGTTTGGTTGTTTCCCTTTTCTCTATTAAATATAATTAACAAGAAAACCAGTCTTAAAGTACATGTGACGTATCACAGTACTCTGATGTTAAAATTTAAACCCCTTTTCTTCATGCAAACAAATGCATAGGTAATTCAGTTAAGCGAACTCTTTATGATAAACATTGTCAAGTTTCTATGGGTAATGTAACTAGTATCGTACTTATCTTCATTTAGTCCACAAATATGTTTGAGTTCTGAACTCAAGAGTTCTTTTGATGAGTCCTCAATTATTTCTCAAAATGGGAAGTATTCAGGGACCTTATGAGGAAACGCATGGAATATCAACTCTCCAGGCTGGAGCAGGAGAGTTAACTTCCAGTGTCAATCTATGATAGTATTCATCTATGATTGACTGTAACAGAATGTTTCACTTTTCTCTAATAAGAAATGGTGATTAATGAGCATCTGTCTGCTCATTCGTAAGAATATGTGTGGAATTTTTGTTTTGCTTGTGCAGTGTTTGAGTACTCCCTATAGCATCTACTAGTGAGGTGCGGGTCACCTTTTTTCTGACCCCCACCTGTCTGTGGTTGTGAGAAACGAACCCGCACCAGCTCGACCAGGTTTAAAATGATAGAAGTACTGAGCCGAACCCGCTCCATACGAAATTACTCCAAACAATTAGTGATGCGCGGGTCAGCTTTTTTTTTTCCTCCATATCCACCCGCGGTTGTGAGAAACAAACCCGTACTCGCCTAACCCGATCGAAAATGTTTTGCGAACCTGAGTCGGTGAGTCATCCCGCGCAGCACTAGCATCTACTGTTGAAGGCAACATCATTACTCATAGAAGTATGCTGAACACCCCAAATCCCAACTATTCAGCAGAAATCAAAGTTTTCACTTTGCCCTAGTGCGCAATATACTTTCTACCTTCTACAAAGAATTCTCTTTCTGCTGCTGTTTTTATTTCCTTTTTACACTTTCAACGGATTTCTTTCATGCCATCTGCACAATTTTGTGCACTGCCACTATAAACAAGGAACTTTTGCTGCAGTTAGACTTGCACTTCAGATCAACGGACTCTGCCCTCATAATTTTACTGGGTATAATTATGGAGAAGTAACTGAAAAAAGTTAAAAGAAAAGTTGATTTAAAAGAGAGATTCCTCAGATAGTCATACTATTTAACCATTTTCTATTACAGTAGTTATTTATACATGTATTATGTAGTATAATAGTTATTCTCATATGGTTGGTCCAGTTATATTTTTTGTCATATCTTTTTGTATGCAAAGATAAACAATAGAGGCAACTTCTGTAAACCTGAAGTATTTAAAGAACTTAAGAAGAAAAATATATTTGTTGTTAATGGATTTCAGTGTTTTTCAGTGTCGGTATAAAACCAGCATTTTTAGAAAAAGTTTTGGAAATTATTTGAATGTATAAAATGGACTTTTTTGTATTTTACGCCTTCCTTCTGTGGTGAACTGTAGTGTGGTGAATATTATAATTCAGAACGTAATGGTAGTGTGGCTCATAAGGAGTGTTCCAAACTTACTGCCAAAGTACTGACTGCTTGTTTATTGTGGTTTAGCTTTGTGCCATGAAGGCACATATGTCCTGTGTGAAGAAACTGTGGTGATTAAGCAGCAATTATAGATATGGAAAGACAGTTTTTAAAAACAAAGATAATGAACTTTATAGAGCTGTACTGAATTTATTCTGTTGCTTCCTGTTTTTTTGTAGGATGTTTTCCTACTCAGGTCATTAATACCTCAGAGGATCTAAAGTTGTGTAGAAATTTCACACTTGTATTCCAAGATATTACTTACTGAATGACCGATTTATGCTACTTGTAGGTAATCCTGAATGCTTAAACGTGAGGAGTTGTGTGGCTTTTCCATTTTTATTCCAGATCTATTACATTGTGACAGAATCCTAGGCAGTTTTTATAGAAACCCAGGGGACAACTTCAGACTTCAGGCACTGTAGCATTTATAATTGAGAATATTAAACATTCTTATGACCTGTAGGTGTTTGCAATGGACTTTCCGGCCATGTGAATGAGGCTCAAAATTTGGGCTGTTTTAAGATGGTATAATTTTCAAATTTCTTGTTCTTGTGAGTAGAGAGGTCATAGTGGTCTAAACTTTTTTTTTTTTGATCGCTGAGAGCCTTCTAAAATGGCATATTGTTTGTACTGCGGAGTAAGCCAGAAGTTTTTCTTTAACCCTCCTCTTTTTTTTTCTTTCTTTCCATGTACAAATAGCACCATTTCACAGATCACATTCCAGCGGCAAATACGTTTGAAAAAGTTGCAGTTTATTGGAAATTGCGTGATGTATGTGTCAGTTTCTGGAGTATTCCTGAAATGTTAATGGAGCATCCAGAATAATTAGCACAATATTTAGCATTAGTGGTGAGCAGTACACCTAAAAATATAGATCATGTGTTTCCACACAGAGAGTGTGTGGTGTATTTTGTGATCTAATACAATTTTGATCAGAATTTAATGTAACTGGGTGTCTGATTCAGATCATATGCAGATCTCATATGCCTTTTTCTTAGGGATGGGTCATATATCTCAAAACAGACAAAGGAGATATGGGTTAACAAGCCTTGAGATGCAGTGTTCAGTATTTTACCAACAATAGTAGCACTGGCAGTAAACTAGTGTGGTATCATACAGTATCCATACACCTATATGTAGGGATAATACCATTTGAAATACAGGACTGGCATTGTTCAAGCTCAAGGAGGGAAACGTATTTGCTGTTCTCACAGTTAGAAAAGTGTGCTAGCAGGCTGAAAACAAAGTGGGATGTTCGTAATAAAAAAGGCAGAAATAGTAGATTTAGTACATGAGGCTATATTAATAGGATCATATTTTGACGGTTAGTTGTGTCATCTTGTCAATACTTGTCATTTTTCAACACTATGTATATATGCATATAGATTAAGGCCCTGATCTGGCTCTTGTCCAAGACTATTGGGTAGTCAAAATGTAGTTAAGATATTTTAACAACGGTATAGATATTTAAACCACAATCTGAGTTTTAATGCAGCTGCTGCATGGAGTAATGATTGGGGCTTCCGAGAATGGAGGGGGATGGGTTTAGATCCCAGCTGGGATGTTACTCTTGTTAGTCTTGAGCAAGCCTTGTGGTTCACTCCATTTTCTCTACATCTTAAACAAACTTGAAATGTACAAGCTTCACTTTAGTGCACAGCATATAGACAAAACCGTGCATTTTCCGTTTCTTGTCTTCAGTTTTGAAATGAACTTGAATATCATTTTACACAGAACAGATTTCTAAAATGTTTTATTAGACCAAAATTATCAAATTTTCTTATTGTTTTACCTTGGTTTTTGAAATCACTGTGACATGAATCCTTCGAATTTCCGAAAGCACTCGGGCACACTGACGTAAAGTGCTTGCTAGCACATAAAGATGAGTTGTTGCATAAATGAATACTTATGAATATACTGCAGGTTGGGACACCCCTTTCTACTCTCCCTAAAGCACCAAAGGTGCTCGTAACAGTTTTTTTTGTAATAACCATGTGCAAATATTTGGTCTCTTTAACAAATTATATTTACCGTTGTGGTGTTCTCTTGTAAATGGCTGAACTTTAAAACCTGCATCTGGTAGCATTTAATCTTCAGTTATTTATCCAGAAAGTTACATGTGCTTAAGGAAACAAAAACATTAATGAAGAAGTGAACCTAATGAAGAAGAGAGCCTGAATGACTGCAAAGTTTGTTTGCCACGGTAGTAAAAAGTGAACTTTAAGACACAAAAATGCATGTGAATTTCTGGAGTATGAAGATTTAAGGATGACCAATCTTGTGCAGCTCTGGCTGTTGGTATTTTTTAAAACGCATTTAGGTCAGTTTCTTAGAAGATGTAACACGTAGCTTTAATCCCATCCAAATTCTAGTATAGCGAATTGCAATAACGTTATTCTTCATCCTTCTGGTTTTCGTTTCGCCTCCCTTTGTCTCTGAACGCATCCTCTAATGAAAAAGAGAAGTGTGGCGCGTTTTTCTTATTCATAATTCAAAAGAGTCGCCGCTGTAGTTTATGCTTGTAAATGGTCTGAGATGTGTATGTTTTGTCGATTTTTGTTCATGATGGCCAATGACTAACACAGATCCATCTGTATTTTAAATGCTGTCCCCAGGTTACAGCTACGATACCGCCTATGTGGAGTTTTTAAACCTCGAGGATGCAGTCCACTTCATGGAGTCCAACCAGGTGGCCTTTCCTCATCGCTCTGCGGCTGCTGTCACCCCTGGGCAGGAAGCGAGTTGGGGTGGTTGGGGGTGTGGGCGGGGGCTGGCATGGCAGGGGGGTGGTGGGCAGGAAGGTTCCACGTGTGCAAGGTTTTGGTAAAGAGAGGGAGTTGCTTTCTACTAGAGATGCTTAAGAAATAACATTGGTTTGACGTGGTTCTGATTTGGTTCGACATTTTTTTTTTTTGTCTGGTCTCATGAAAATATAAGGAGGTAAATGATTTCGGACTTAATTTATGGAAAATAGTGCCAGAGAAGTGACATCATACCTTTCTCAGGTACAGTGAATGGATTGGATTAGTATGGTTGTTAGGTTGAGCTTGATTTGAATCCATTTTTGGAGGACTTCATCAGTCTGTTTTGATGTTTTACAGCATCTCTGATGGATATTCCAGTTTTTTATGAGGGATAATTGGTTAAAACTTACATAAGGGTTAAATAGATATATGCAAGCTGGGAGTTTTCAGTGGTACGACATTTAACCATATGGTCTGGGATCTCTTATTCATAATATGTTATCTTCTCTTTGAGTACATATTTTTATTATAGATGTCCTTTCTTAATTTGGCTTAATTTGTTTGGACTCGATTGCGATTTTCTTTCATACGCTAATTCCTGTGTTGCAGATTAAGTGAACACTTTAAAAAAAAATGTTTGGGAGTGATGCTCATATGTGCCATTACCCTGAAAGTCTGGTAGCTGTGGTTTCTCTTATGTACTCATGCTACATTTCTGCTGATTCATCTAATTGAAATGTTTTGAAACGATTAGAAATTAGTATTGGTCATGTTATTTGCTGCAAATTGAATGGTATGTTTAAACATGCTAAAATGCAAAACAAATGCATTGTTTGTAAAAGGTTTAAGCCTAGAAGGATTTTAAAATGGTAAAATAAATACCAAGGTCTACTTGTATGTATTGTTGCTTTTTGGTCATTCCATCACTTTTGCTTTTATTCTTGGGTCATTCATTATTCCTTGAAGGGTTTAATCTTTTCAGTCATTCTGTATAATGCATTGTTTTCAAATATGTAGGTGTTTAATCTTAGCGGTGCCTTATGAGATAAGTTTTGGCTTTGTAGGAAATGCTTGTGTTCCTGGTGTTCTAGTACATACATTTGAAATTTTTATTTTTCTTTCCCATCGTAATATGGTAAATCATTTCTGGTAGTGTTTACAGTGAAGTGGAAACCCCTCTGGCTATATTTCAGAGAAAGGAAGGTGTTCTTGTTTACTTCAAGCCTCGCCTTTTCATGATGAAAAGATTTGTGGTGTGTTCGAAGTCTCTGAGGTTGCGTTGCGGGTCTTGGATCTCTGAACCTTGGTGCCGCTGAGTCCAGGTTTTGCTTTTTGGGGAAAATGGGTATAAGTGATCAACAGAAATAAACTGAAGATGTGTTTAAAAAATGCAAACATTGGTGCTTGTGGTTACTTAAGCTAACTATTAAACTCATTTCCGGAGTCTAGGATTGTAGGTAATTGAGAATATAAATTAAATGTATTTATAGGTTAGTTTGGTAATTTATTAGATGAATGGATAAGAGAACAGATGCTCTTTTTTTGTCTTTGGTGTCATACCACTCTGCATAGGGGTTGAATTTCCTTGCAGTTAGGAATTATGTTGTCTGTCCTGTGGGCAAATGGTGGATTAATGATGGATCAATTCTGATCGATCAGGTCTCAGTCTCTGATGCTTCTAGCTGCCAGTCGGGCTCAGCTGGGGCCAGGTGTGATCATCCAAACAGTGTGTTTCATCTGTGCTTCCCTTCTCAGCGGTAAGAACAATTTGGATGTGATGACCTCTGGGATAACCAGCTACTTCAGGTCTTTGGATCTAATCTAGATGTGGAACACCACTGAGGGAATGCGCAGTTAGACTTCTGTCGTGCAGTTGCCATGCAGTGCTGGGAGTGTTCCCCAGGTTATCTGGACTCCTGGAAGAGGGGCTTGTTTCACTGGTAACTCTGTTTATGCCACAGTATCCGTTTCTGGGGCTTTTCCAAAGCCATATTGGTCGGAAGGCTCTTGACTTGAAGGCTCTTCTCCTTTTGGTGGCCTTTTCTGACTTGGCACAGCCTTACACCTAATCAGAAGCTGTAAAAGCAGCTTCTGATTTTGATTTTTAGTGTACCATAACAAAATCAAAACCTTGCTCTTCTTCCCAGAATATTGTCCCTTTCCACATAAGATTTTTTTTTATCCTTTTCTCACATGACTGATTCCTTGCTGGGACGGTTGCATGATCTGCAGCTTTTCTTCTTTTACGACAACGTTTGGTATGAGTAAATGTAGTTTTTTTTTCCGAAAAATGATTTGCAAGATTGTTTAATCCTTTCATTAGAAGTAATATGTGATTCTAATGAAGGTACCTGAATGGGTTTTACATGCGTTCCAGCAATTAACTCCCTAAAAAGCTTAAGCTTTACATGGTCCATAGCTATTACCATGATTTTTCTAGGTTTTGTGCTGATGACACCTGCATTAACTAATTAGAGCTGGAAAATGTAAGACGTGTAGGTATGATGTCCCTTTCGTCTTGAAAGGTTTAGAAAGTGATTAGATCTGTTCCGTGCGTCTACTTTTTCCTGCCTTCCGTATAATGAAACCTTTTTGTTGCTGAAAAATGTCTGTAAGCCAGTGTTCAGTCACTCCTGCAAAAAAACAAGATGCGGCAAGCCCTGAGCAGTATTGCCCGCAACCTGTCAAACACTCAAGGCAAAGTTAAGAATGTTTTTTTTCCTTTGTTTCCTTTAGTTTCTCAATTCAGTTGCTAGTATCGAAGCAAAGTACAAATGTTTTCTTGCTGTGAGCTTTGTCATTGAGAGATCTGAGAATGCCATGTGTGCAGATGCTTTCGTGAGCTGCATCTAGGCCACTTGTGGGACTGCTGATTTATGACTACTTCTCACACCTTTATTAAGTGAAGAAGGCATCTAGTTTGTAGAACAAAAAGGCTGCGGTGTTTAGCTATTTTCTGTTTATGTCAATTGCATTTCCTTTGTTAGGCAGAATGAGCGGCTACACATAACAAAATGCCTTCCTTTAAAGGAGACTTGTTATTGCAGCATTCTGCTACACCATGGATGCTTTTTATATACCTTAAAGCTGTAAATCTACACCTAATGGCTCTTGGGTTAATTTTGGTTGTCTTCGCAATGTTCCCGAAACTGCATCTTGTGCTGTCTCTAAATCTAAACTCTTTGATATTGAGCTATACCAAAATTGCTCTTTAATACTCAGTTGTTAAATATTACGATTTTGGTTCTCAATTAATTTCCCAGGATGTGTATTTCTTTTTTGTATCAGAAACATGGCATTAATAGAATGACTATTTGCAGTGTTATACTGAAAAATCTTGCAGCTGTGATTGAGGCGGTGACTTTTGCAATCATTTATCGCTTTAAATCCTACACCTATATAGTTCTGGTGCCAAATGTTCCATATCTTTAGAGTGTTCTGTTTTTTTTTTTAATACAAAAGGATCTAAGCCACTGGTGTTCGCACACTGCTATGTTACTAATCCTTGCAGACCAAAATTAGATACTACTGCTGCAGTCTTTTCACTTTACAGGTGAATGATCTGAAGATACGGATGAAACAAAACTATTAAACTGACATGATTCACATTCTGTGAACATATGAGATCTCTCGAACCAGGCCTTAATCTCCAAAATCAGCACTATTTCAGTGGAATTTATGGCCCGGATACATTAGAAAGCCTGCCACCATTAACAGTTTTAAAATTGTTAAAGGGGAACTGAAGTCCCAATTTCTCGGACTGGTTATTATGTCTTTGGTAGCGAATTTAAATTAATTGGAGGCATCGCAAAATTTTACAAATTCCAAATTAAGCCCAAAATCGTGAACTTTGTGAAAGTACTGTATGGTCTCTGTGTTGTCACAAAATGCTGGTCTCACCAAGGGACGAGAGTGAGAGTTGGCAAGAATTGTTTCCTTTTCCGAGGGATATTCAGCTAGCCAAGAGATGGGTAATAAACATGGGCACTGATGTTGGTCCCATCAACGCGTTTCTATATGAGATTCAGTGCGTTATACGAGTAAATAAGGACAGGTTGTACAGCAGATATTTCACTACAGGAATGTTCCAACGTGATCTGCATGCAGACTTAACAAGTAAGTATTATTTGTCAGCAAAATTGTCCCAAAGTCGATATGTTGAATTCAATTCAATTGCACTTGTTCAAGTCAGTATTCTAGATAAAGTATCTTTAAAATGTAGTCTTGTATGTGTCGGTTTCTTAAAGTTATGGATTAATTAATGCAGTGGAAAAATTCGCTTAATCTAAGGCATGTGTTTTATTGCAACAGAAATGTATTGTTTTTTTAAATAGTTAATTTGGGATAGGACATGTATATTGAACTTTTCTCGGCTTTGGAGTTTACATGATTATGAAGCCTGACAATTCATAATGTGAAATATTTTCATTTAATTTACCCAACGAAAACTTGTGCTCGAACCCGGTGCCATTCCTACCGTTTATGCCAATAAAAAGCAAACAATGAAAAGAAAACGCAAGGAGAGGGTGATATCAGAGCTTGATAGAAAAACAATTTAGGTGATCCTTTTTATCATAATTATGGTTAAGACCTAGGTTAAGATGTGATTGAATATGGTTTTACAACTTGGAATAATATTTCTATTGTATTAAAAGGGATATAGTCACAAATGTGCTTTTTAATGTAATAGGGCCATTGCACATCATCAGATATTTTGTTGCCTCATTCTGAGTCACAGACAATGGTAATGTGGTGTTATGCATATCTGGGCATTTTCTCTATTTTGTGATGTAATTTGGAGGTTTACATGTTATTGTATACTTTGTGTTTTTATTGTGGTTTGAAATGAACTCATCGATGCTGATTCTTTATAACCCCAAAATTTAAAAATAGCATCGCAGATCCGCGTTAAAAGACTGTGTTCTTGTTATACTTAAAATTTTGATTACAGAATTACTATTAAGTATTTTATTCTTGGTATCACCGATATCACTTGGTATCACTTTTTTTTTTTGCTCCTTAATTAATTTTATCAGGCATGCTCTAATAGGGCACTGGCATGTAAAGTAACAATTTATTTTTAGTAATTCATACCAAGTATATTTGTTTTACTTTTTTTAGGACCTTTGGTACAGTGTTGAAGTGTTCATTATACATTTTGCAAGAACATTCATAGAGGTTTACAAGTATAGTAGTTTTTAACAATAGGGATTTAGATTTCTAAAAGAGCAAAACAGTACAGACCTACCTAATTAAGATCACTGACAATCACTTATTACTTGGCTTCAGATGTGACTATTTTAAGAGATATTGTTCTGAAAGAAATATCTAACAATTAAAAAATGGATTATGTTAAAAAAACGTTATAGTTTGGTTTATGCTGTAATGGTTTAATACTAAGTCTGAAATCATCCATCCATTTTGCTGCCCTTTGTAATTAAATTAGTCACTTTCATAACTTAATGCCTGCATCCAAAATTTTAGCCAATTTTCAACAGGAATTTTATGTGTTATTGCTGTATTTATTACAAGAAACTGTGTGTCTTCCATTAGGAAAGAATACTGTATCTGTCTTTAAACCTTTATGTACTTTAAACCATCTATTTGGATTTTACACTTGTGACTAATTAAATTTGAACTGGTTTGAGATGTCTGCAAGTTTATGTAATCTACTATAAATGGGACTGCAGTTTGTGAAGATCTTTGCACATCTAACGTAACTTAATTTTTTAATAATGTGATCAATTGGTTGATGTTAAGTGGGTAGGCTAAGATCTTTGACTTTTATAGTACAAATATTTTGAATGCTTAGCTCAATTTGTTGCCTTCTGGAATACTTGGCTATATAAAAAAACATGCATCTACATGATAAATTGGAAAATTTAAAGCACTGAAGAAATGAATGTTTCCTGGTCTTCATTGATACCCTTAGTTAATGTAGGTTTTTGTGTTTTTTCATTGGCTAAACTAAGTTCCTTGAAGTCTTGCTTTAAGTGACATCTTACTGCTTTGTATATACAGTGACCATGGTATATATTGCAGTATTTTCAACCTTGAATGCACTAAGACTAGAGACAATCTCTTTATTTATAAAGCAAAAAGCTAAATTGTATTCTCAATAATAAAGTTGCATACCTCAAGCATAACCTTGAGAACAAAATTGAAGTCAGTGTAATTTTTATGACGTTTTAGCATTTAGTGTTTGATTTTTTGGGGAACTAAGTTATGAGCTGAAATTTGTAGCTGTCTAAATAGTCATGGTTTACTTTGTTGTACTGGCTATTTCACCATCCAAAAACTTTCTGAAAGTGTAGAATTATCTGCTCGAGTGTGCTCTGCTCCTCCTTTGCATCTATCATGTTACCTGAATGAAGATGCATGCTGTATGTTGAAAATTTAAGAGTTTTAGTATTGGCTGGCAGCGTGCTTCACGAAAAGAGCATTTTGCATGCCTGAACAAGCTCCAATATGTCATAGCCTGGAATGCTTTGGAACACTTCTTCCTGAAAAGGTTTTACTGATATTTATCAAAACATCAAATCCCATGTATCATATACAAATGTTATTTGGCCCTTAGTTTTATATGTGCATATTTTCAATGTGCACATCGAGATGTATCCCTTTATAGTTTTATCATCCGAGATCAGTAGTAGAGTTATTTGAGTATTGTAGATTTATATATACATTTTGTTTATAGCACCAAAATGTCAGAAAAGTGAATGCAGTTGGTTGTCTCATAAGTCGTTAATAGTTCTTAGTTTTTAATTCCTTGTTAAAAGCTTGTAGGTTGTCAAATTGTACATGAGTACTGCCTCACAAGAGAACAATTTTAAAAAAACGTATTTTTCACTCAGGCATGCGTCTCAAATATCGGTGTCTTTATGCCTCATTTTACTACTTTGAATTGTCCAGTTTTCAAACAAAAAAGCGACATTCGCATTAGCTTATTCATGAGCCATCCCACTGAATTACGCTTGGGAAAACTTGTCATTTTCTCACCTTAAATGGCCACTATGACTGCTCTTTCTTCTAAGCTGATATCAGATAGCGCAGACGTTTCACATGTATGTGTATGAAATGATTTTCTTTTAAGTCTTCATCTTAGCAGATACATGTTCTGATAACTGAACATCATCACATTATGAGCATATCTGCGGTGAAGCATGCTGAATGCACACACACTTTAATAAGATAATAAATGTTTTCTGTTATTTTTAACCATGCAAGTAAAGATTTGATGGAAAATAACCATGTTCATTTATTTCCAGGGAGCCTTGAAGATTGGCAGCAAAACTGTGATGATGCAATATGCCGAGCCAGACTGGAATGGCAAAGTTTCTGCTGTAAGTATCCACATCTTACTGGGGTGTTAATCATTGTTTTGTTTCTCAGTTCTATAGAACATCTTCCTATTTTTTAATATGATGCTACTGCGTAACATCGTGGCACAGTTAGTTTTCTTTTCTTTCTTGGTTTTGTCACTAATAATGCAAAGCATAAAAGTCTGAATTTGCCAGTTGTGACAACAGCAATAGCATCATATTTCAGTAGTTCTAATAAAGATGTACTATATCTTTTTAATATGGGAAAATCTCATTTTCCATTAAATCAGTTTATGGTTTCTATGCATAGTCTTCCAAACTGACATTTGCTGCTTACATATTAAGTAATGAGAGATTTGTTATAATTTATTTGTTTAAGGAAAAATAACCTACATATAACCTGAAACTGCTAAAGGCTCCTTCAGTGCCACTATTCTAGGCAAACATTCCTGAGAGTGTTCTTAGAACTGCAACTCAGATAGTAATAAAATGATAGTTGTATTTGTTTTATTTAGGAATGTTCATCCAAATGTATGACCTTAAGAGAAGCGTCACTGAGACATAATTCCTTGTGGAAACCTTATCTCTGCATTGTACTAGTGGCAAATTGGTTGTTAAGTTATTATATTAGCAGTTATTTATTGATATTCCCTGTTGAGGATCTTGCTAATGGTGCTGCTGAAATCCTTCCTCTGTGTTTAAACAAGGTGCAGCAGGAGTCACAGGTTGAGGAACCCCAGTCTGTGGAGGTCTGTCCTCCAGCCCCAGCGCCCCCAGAGCCTCAGCCACTGGAGCCTGTCCCCGAGGTGCCCGGTTCCCAGCACCCACCTGGGGAGACCGAGTCTCAAACAGATTGGCTCCAGCAACCCCAGGATGATGCCTCTTGGCAAGAGTCGATGGAACAGCAACCTGCAGAGTCCTGGGGCACGTGGAACTCGCGCCCCGCAGTTCGCAGCGTCGACCCCATCTTCAAGGAAAGCAAGAGTGAGTGCTGTGGAAAATCGTGTTACTCCAGTTCACAAGTCTTTTTTTGCACATTCGTTCTTATTGTGTTTTTCATTTTTTCATGCGCACACACACCCATGAAAGGAAGTTTGAGACTCCTCCATGTCCGTATACTTGTAGATGCCGTACCGCAAATTCTTGTATGTCTACACTTTTACTATAAATGTGAAAATATCATTTCTCTTTATTAAATCCAAATAAATTACTATCAAAACAAATGAACAAGAAAAAAATATATACAGATGAGCTTAGTAACATTGCTGTAACCTAGGGCAGTCTTACATTCACTCAGTTGTTTTTATATTTTTGTTAACATGGGGGAAGTAGTTTCATACCTTTTAGTTAACTTTTCTAATTTTTCATCAATACATAATTACACTCATTTGTCCTATGGTCACTCTACCTCGTCTATAAGTAGCTTGAGTATTTCAGAAAAAATCATCTGCAGTCTACAGAACCCTTTCCATCACATACATTTATTTTCTTAATGACAACCACTGTCCATAGGTTGGAGAGTTAGTTCTTTATAAGCCAGTTTAGTGTAATAGCCTTTTTGCAGCTGCTAATAGTACTTGTCCCAAGAAAGCTTGTTCTGTTTGAATAACCTCCTAGTCTTTCAGTTGTAGGGTCTCTTGGTAGTCCTACATAATGTGGTTTATTGTACTGTAAATAACTAGACTTCTTTTTAATCATACTGTATATCTGCCGTTGAAGTTTCTCTTGCCCATGCCATTAAGAAATAGATTGTTAGAGGACTGAATGGAAGCACTCTTAGAAATGAGATGCAGCACCATTCTTCCATGGGAGAGTCAGTCAACACAATGCCTGATTGAGGTGGAAAAGCTCCTCTATTGACACTGTCAAAGTGGTGTTCCATTATATCCTTAAAATGCTCGATTGGGTTCAGATGAAAGAGAACATCTAGAGAAAGCAGTTTTAGCACATCTGATATGTTCCTAGTGTAAAGGGGCTGAGAAAGTATTAAGATTTTATAGTTTCTGGGAGGCATCTTTGAACCCAACACACCAGGCGTTGGGCAACCTCACACTACTGTCGTAAAATATTTATATTAATACAGTATTGGCACCCTTGTAGGGTATCAGGTGTGTGAGCATCAGCTCTTCTCCTGTGCTGTTTTATTCACATGTAAGCACTGTTCCCAAAAGAATGTAATGCAATTCCAGCAGTGATTCTGGGATGCAGGTGGAAGTAGACCACCTGTGTAATCTGTCAGCATATACTTAAAGAGACTACCTGGTTTCATTATCAGGCAGTTGAAATGCAAATATCGAGTTTAGCTATCTTTCCCATTTACATCATTCTGCAAGAAAGTCAGTTAACTTATCTGTTTTAAAGGCTTGCCAGTAGTACTGAAACTGTTCTGATTTAGGTTTTTGTGTTACTATAATTTGGTACTTTAAACAGTGACTGTCATCAAGGGGCAATAACGTTTCTTCCATTTTTGTTTGTGTTTTCAGCTATGATAATTAAAAATGTGAAGTGCACATCCACAGTTGAGTCAATCCTGAAGGCTCTGGACCCATTCGCCTACCTTGATATGAGAAATGTGCGGTTAGTGAAAGGCAAACCCGTGGGGTCCAAATGTTTCTGCTTTGTGGACATGGATTCACATGAGGTGAGCCCTTTATAGTTTCCATTACGGCAGTGCCATTTCCCAGTGAACTCTGTCAATATGCCTGGAAGTGATATTTTGAAGTTCAGTAGGAGCAACAGCTCTGTTGTAAAAATAACACAACATATACATTTGATTGCAGTAGTTCTGACATCAGATCATTATTTTCAGTGTATTTCCAAACACAGGTCAGGTCATGTACACTAAAAGCTATAACAGTGTGAACTATTTTTTATTTATTTTCACAGCAAGTTGTTCATCTGGTGGAACTACTCACCAAACCCCAGCCTTTAATAATTGATGGTGCCAGGGTACATGTGGAAGTAGCAAGACCTTTAAAAAATCAAAGGTTAGTGAATTCTGGTTCTGACCTAATTTCCATATCCGTGTGCAATTCACAAACACCGAATCTGGTTAACATGCATTCCTGTGATTCTTTTTTTTTTAGTTTTAAGAAGGATTTTGAAAAACCTTCGCTTTTGGGATATCCCGATCTTAGTGCAGAGGTGAGTGTCTGGCAGTTTTCTAGGAACTAAGAATTTGACATTACAAACGTTTTGTGATCCTTTGTATTAAATAATGGAAAACTGTTAAATATTGCTGCTGTACTAGCCGATTCAGTATAATGAAAGTTAAAAAGAATAAAAATTGGTTTAAAAAGACCAAATGGTTTGATTGGAAATATAATCTAGAAGTATTGTATCTTACTGGGCCAGGGCCATCATTAATGTATACAGAGATAGGGGGGGGATGGACTTGTTCAGTAAAACCTATGGAAATGGATGCAGGATGTTGATGGATTTCTGCTCTTTCAACAACAGTACTATCCCCAGCCTCTTCCAGCTTCTGTGGGGACCCCCGCTGTCGTTCAAGGTAGGGCTTTTCTCCTCTCCTGATTTTTAACCACGGAGGGTTTTTTAGTCCACACAAAAACTAAACTTTTCTAGTTTCTTCATGGAGAAAGTGTTTTCTCCAAAGAACCAATTTCTGTGGCAGTACCTTACAGAATGAGGATCTACTGACTTCTGAAAATAAACAACTAATACCAATGAAATACCTCCTTTCCATTGCTGCAAGTTTCCAGACCAATTACTGAAATTGCTGTTTTGCTGAACCCCAAAAGGGACATGTCCAGCTAACACTTCCTGTAGCCTGTTAACACTTTGCCCTTTGAGCTGCTGCTTGTGGGATAGGTAGCTAGAATAGTTAAACTTCTCAGAGATGGAGGACTCTTTCAAGAGAAAATTGGATCGTTTGGGATGTTTGTTGAACCAAAGTGACAAACACTAAAGGTGATGATACAGTTATCCTAAGCATTGTGTTAGACCATGGAACATTTTGTTGGAGGCTGTAAATTTGACAAATTCAATGATGAGACAGTTTGGTTATGTCCTGTATTGATGCTGTCTAGAGGTAAATCAAAGGAAACGTTTGTGTAGCCCTCCAGCTATGAGCACTATGTTTTTGTTACTATATTTAGGAAAATACAAGGTCCTTCAACTTTTTGCGCTGTACAGAAATCCATGTGTGGAAATTTACTTTTGCTGTTTTGTTTATTAGGGGAAACAACAGTTGCAGTCAGTGGAGATGCCACGCTGAGCTCTGATCTTCAGTTACAAACCTCTCATCTGCCACAGGTATTCAGAGCAAGTAGTCCATCAACAAGGGGGCTACAGATTCCAAGTCCAGAGCTGCCATATTGACCGTTTTTGTTCTCTCACCCTTGTTCCAGGGTACAGGCCTTTTAGAGACTCCTGCCACTGCTCAACCCTACCAGACTACGGACCCCCATGCCTCTGCTGCCATCACCCCTGCGGTGGGAGATGGCTCTGATGCCTATAGCTATGGTGAGGGAAGGAGATGCTTATTTTAGCTTTAATATTTAAGTAACCTGTTTTGACAATAATATAAAATTCCCCTTTAATAGAATGTTGAATTTTAATAGTTATGATGAGTTGTTAACAATGAAAGGTGGTTGTTCCTGCTGTAGAAAAATAAGGAATTTTGATATACTGCAATTGAACCAGGCTGAAGATCGAATATCTCTACTTTTAAAAACCTAACGTAAACTAAGTATATTTTTACAAGAAAGTTGTGTAAAGATATATACACAGCGCAACTAAACACCACAGTTAAGCTTGTTTCTTTGTTCCTTTTGAGTATGTAATTTTGAATTTATCAACTTTTCTACAGACGCTGTCGCTCCTGATGTGTCAACATACTTGTATGATGCTACCTCTGGCTTCTACTATGATCCCCAGACCACTCTGTACTACGACCCTAACTCTAGGGTAAGTGCTGGGAATAATATAAATGACTTATTCAGTCTGTAAACATTTTGTTTTGAGGTGGGGGTTTTGACGAGGGTGACAAAGTCTCATTCAGTGTAACCAATCATTGAAAGATCTCTTATTCACAGCTACTTGAAAGACAAAGAGGGTGTACCGTTTTTTGCAAGTAATTCTTTGTTGATAATTAGGTGAAATTGACTGTCTTTCCCTGTGAATCACATTTTGCCCATGTAAGATATATGTATTGAAGCTTACACTATTAAAAACTTACAGAATATTTTTAATCACCATTTTAACAGTAATGAATTCTGTTATTTCTAGAATACCTTTTTTTAAAACTAAATGGTGGTTTTTCACTGTTGTGATCATAAAAAAAACACTGACTTGTTCATTGTTTTTGTTGTACTAGTATTTCTACAATGCGCAGACTCAGCAGTACCTGTACTGGGACAGTGTCAGGAAGGACTATGTTCCTGTCCCAGGCCACACAGCTGAGACTCAGCCCCCGAGCTCCCAGACAGCTGCCGCAACAGTCACAGCTTCTGCGGTGGTGCCCCAGGAGACACCCCAAGACACAAAGGCAACAGGCAGTGAGGGAGCCGTGGACAAGAAGGAAGAGGACATGGTGAACAAGCCAGAGAAGAAAGAGAAGGATGACAAGCCTCGAAGCTTGGCAGCACATAAGGTACAGTGTTCCTCTTTGACACATTGTTTCACAAAGACACTATGTTTCTGTTTTCTGCCTGTGACTATACTTTGTTCTAGCATCTTATGAGGTAGAATTCAAAATCTCCTTTATTCTATTCTTAAAACTGCACACATTTTTCCAAAAGAACAGCTAGAACTGTTGTTGCCATTGCTTACTCTGCTCAGACACGGCTGCAAACGGGATTACAAAAGCAAGCCATCTCAATCACTCTAGTGGTGTGATTTACAGCCTCTTGTAAAACACAAAGGGACTGAAAATGGGTGGGAGGTTTGTTTACACCCATTTCCTAACAGTCCCCTTACAATTTTGACATCCCTTGGAATTCACAACTATTCGAAAATGCATTAATATGTCATGTATTTGAAGATTATGAAAGATATGGAGCGATGGGCCAAAATCCAGAATCGACAGAAGGAGAGCATCCGAGCGCCCTCTCCAGTCCTGAAGCCTCAAGGGAACACGGAGGAGAAAAAGGCTTCTAAGGCTGCAGATGCAGCATTTGCAATCTTTGAGAGGAAGGTGAGCAGAGGAAGGGAGCAGCACACCTTGTGCCAGACTGCTCTTTGCCACAGGGCATGTTCCTTTTGATTACTTTTTCCAGTCAATGGACTGATATTAGTTTTTCCTCTGGCAACCATGACATAACCAAACAAATTGTCATAATTAGTCAGGGGGGTTATAAGTAGAGCTATTTGTTTCTGGTGTTCGTTTTTAATTATGTTGACATCCCTTTAAATTTACAATAAGTTAACTCAGTTTCCCATTTAATAGTTAAAACTGTTCATTCCAATACAAGGCTGATCATAGCCTTGAATGTTTTTTCCCATCCGTGTCTCATGTCACATTTACTAACCCCTGATCAGCTGTCATTCTACTTCTACTTTCCACAAATTATCACAGACCTTTATCACAAAGTTTTTCCCTCTTTTAACAGTTTGATCATTTTTAAAATAAAAGTTCCTGCGCATTTTCTAAATTCATATTCGTTGGTTACATGGTTATTCTTATCTAAAATGTGGCTTTCCCATAACCATGATTCTCAGGTTATTGCTCTGTTAAAACAATCTTTGAGACTCTGCGAAGGGCCAATAAGGATATTTTTTATTTATATATGATTTATAAGAACATTTGCTGCAGAATCAAAAGCTTTGTAAGAAGTTAATTCCAGGAGCATGATTTTGGAAAGCCAGATCACATTTGCATGTCTAGTCAAGATATGTTAATGTTGTGAATTACTTTAGGTTTTTTTTCCCCTTAGTGTATGCTTTTTCTGGATTTTTGATGTCACCAGTTTAAAACTTATATTGCTGGAAATTGTCACAACTGGCGCCAAATTCAATTTGAGGCCCATAGTATGTCACTGGCATCTGATTTTACTTTTCTTCCTGCTCACTGCCTGCCTTTTCTGAACCACAGGGCACAGCAGATGATATTTTTAAGAAGCCATTTGCTCCACCAAAGAAAGAAGAGAAGGCTCTAAAGGTATTGATTTGCCTTCTTAACCATTATATAAGTCTCCGGAAAACCAGGGGATGGAGCATGCTAATAAATTTAGTCCTTCCTGGGCAGCAAGAAATCTATACATTGATATTATGACCACTTTTTCCAACTCATGGTCGGAGAGACCTGGAGTCTATCCTGGCAACCAGTGGTCATAAGGTAGCATACGCCCTGGGTAGGACGCCAGTCTATCGCAGGGCAAACAGATGTAAACACAAACACATTCACACCAGGACCAATATTCCCAGAAGCCAATTAACCTAAGAGTATACCGTTTTGAAGAATACTTTAAAGTTCAAAACTTTTTTTATAATTTTTTTAAAATAATATTTTGTTTAGAACTAATATTTCTTGTTAGACATAATATATAATTGTTCATGTTTTACATTGTAATCAATGCCAAATATTTTTATTCCTGTTTTCCTTTCTCTAGTAGAGTTTTATTAATAACTAATTGCAATGTATAACTAATATATCTTGAACTCTCTACACAGGTATCAGGACAGTATTGCTTATTTTGATATGTGCTCAAACATAGTGTTGGTGTGTAAAGACTTTATTTACGATTTTAAATCTGGCCTCTTGCTTTTAGTGATCCAGAACACTCGGTTTCTGTTTCTTCCCCATGTGTAGCGGCCGTTGGGCTCTCTTGGAATGCTGGTATCGGAGTATGGAGCAGGAAGTGATGAGGAGGAGGAAGAGGAAAGAAAGGAAGAGCCACGGGCTGTGAAGAGCCACCAAGAGAAAGAGGACCGATTGACAGACTGGAAAAAGATGGCATGCTTGCTCTGCCGGAGGCAGTTTCCCAATAAGGATGCTCTAGTCAGGCACCAGAAGCTGTCTGATCTCCATAAGGTATTGTCATTTTGGGATAAGTGTGAAGGTCTCTTAAATATTCCTGGATTTCATATCAACTTTTTGATTTTGGGAAACTGCTAATCTCTGCTTTTCTGTCACTGAATCTTGGGACATTTGCAAATTCTTAGTTGTTTTTTTGTCATTTTAGCAAAACATGGAGATACACCTGAAGATCAAGAGGTCGAAGAAGGAACTGGAGGCTCTTGAAAGCCAGGAGAGAGAGGTGAATGAGAGGATATAGTATTTCATCTCTTCTTCAGAATTCCATTTTCAAACCCTTTGTGATGTCTAGTGGTCTCATCTTCCTCCCCTGATTAGTTTATATTATGATATTCAAAATTTGTTTGAAAAACAAAATGAATATTATTTACGTTGAGGTTTCTCTTGACCTACAGACTAATTAAGGTTTATGTTATTGGTTTACGTTTCCAAGATCAAAAGGAATTGCATTTTCAACACATATTACCCGGCTATGGTATCTCCTGTCGATAACGATTGTTTTTGTTGACTGCTACTCCAGATGAGTTCCAGAGATATGACCAGCTCTCCTACTGAAGCCAAACGAAGAAAGTACCAGAGCTCTGATTCACTGTAGGTACTTCTTTTTCTCACCAAGAGTTTTTGTCTGGTTTGGGGACTAATATAATTAATGATAAATTAAAAGCAATGTGTAAAACCCTTACACAGTGTAATATTTTACAAACTGAAATATTCCCTTCAACTCGACTTGAGTGTTAGGAATCTGTTGTTTTGGTTGACATAAGCCTTTTCAAACTTTTTCACCAATGCTACAAAGTTATTAGAGCAAAATCCAGTGAATAACATGAGGTTGTTCATTAGTGTAAATGTTTTTCGTTTTATATTATATATATTTAGAATATTCCATTAAATGAATTGAGTTGCAGAATCATACACTTCAGACTTGCTGCCACCCCCCTGAAAACACCTTCTTTGTCTCCCTCATGTTTGAACAGTGACGTAGAAAAGGGTGTCCGCAAGGCAGGGGGTGTGAAGACAAACTCAGGGGAGGAGGAGTCTTTTGAGGTAAGAGAGAGACAGTGCCTGCATCTTCATTCAGGCATTGGGATTCATTCGTCTGGATTTTCAGCCTTTAGAAGTAATTCTGTTGTTAAAGCTTATACTTCATAATTAAGGTAGTGTGTGCAGTGAAATGTACTGGAATGTTTTAGGTCTGAATATTTGCCATCTAAAGTGTTAAACACGGGTAATAAATATTGAAAACAATTTAATAAGGTTATTTTACAATGCTAACAATTAAACTTTTCATTTAGATTTTTCTTAGCTATTTAAGTTATATACTAATATAACAAGCAACAGAAGATTGACTCCCTCTTGGTATATACTTGCAGATATTATGTGTCTTTGAATGGTCTTAAAATAAATATTACATCCTAATTCTGCCAAGTCAAATCTTATTTTTACTCAATTTGTTGTTCATCTGGTATTGGATACCTAATGCAGTTTTTTCTCATGATCTTAAATTCAGAAGAAGAAAAGGGGCTCGGAAACGCAGGTCAGGACCCCTGCCACATACCGGGAGGCTGTTCGAAAGGCCATGTTTGCCCGCTATAAGGAGTTGGAATGATTGCCCAGGACTGCCTTTCTGGAACTAATTTTTCCCATGTCTCTGAAAAATGTCTTACGTCCGAGCACATTGACAAAACATCATAGGGCTGTTCCTTTCATGCTGTGGACTGGCTTCATTTTGAAACTCTTACCAAATGTGGGTTTATTAAGTGTTACAAACCCACTTCTTCCACACAGGCTACGGAAAGTGCCCTGACAATAACCTCTAAGGGATATGCCTTACTGTGAAGTTGTAGAAAATTAAGGCTAGTTACAGTTACTGTTCACTAGCAGAAATCAGTGTTCAGTGCACTTCAAAAATAGCATTGACAAGTGTAAATAATATTAATTAAAAGTGATTTAGTGACTATCTTTGAAACAAATGACGTCTGCCACTACCTTTGTGGCTTTTTGGCCAGTAATCAGGAGTAGGAAGACTACGATATCTGCTATTTGACTCAAGCATCTTCTGCACTTTCCCTTGTTTGAGAAGGAGGGACAGGTGTTATAGTACCTTCACTTCATCTCTGAAAGCTGAGTTTTGTGTCCAGATGTGAAGGAAACAAAGTAAGGTCGGCCTGCAGTGGACTGTATATTAGTGCTGCTGCATAATACCATGATGTTGGCAAAAAAAGCTGTATATTAAGTTTGCCCCACCAGCTGAATATAAAGACCTTTGTTATACTGTATGTCTAGTTTTTACACTTGGAACCTTGATTTATGTGCCACAGGATGGTTTCAGCAACGCTAACAATTGTACTTTCTTTGTTAACACAATGATTTTTATATTTTTGTTTTCCCAGATGTGCTTTGTAATGTCTTCAGTGTACATTTTTAAAGTAAAAATGTCTGTAGATCACTGGCTTCATTTTATTTTTTAATTTGGCATTGACTGCTTTTTGAAAATCGTACTCGAAAAGGACTTGCTACCTTTGTGGTGTGGCATTAATCCAAGCAAATATGCTGTATATTAAAATACATTCTACCGGGGTAAACTGTACCAAAGGTTAACATTGTAGGTATTTCAGTGTTGTGTGTGGTTAGATAACCCTCTGACATTCATAAGTGGAAATTAAGAGACTTTCCGGTGAACCACTTAAGCCTGGCTGTCTTCAAGTTAAAATTGCACATCATGTCCTTAAGAGGATCTTTAAATCAACAGTGATAGAATAATTAATAGGTTTATTCCATGCTGTAAAGAAGAAAGAAAACAACATTTCAACCGTGGAGCCTTCTCACACACCTGAAGAAGGCTCCACGGCCGAAACGTGTTTTCTTTCTTCTCTTTTCGCATGGAATAAACCTGTTGTTCCTTTGCAGCATACGCATATTGACGCAGCTACCCACCTGTTATAGAAAAATGGCATAATGGTTAAAATTAATTGAGAAGATGAATCTAATGTCTTTTCCTTCTTTTCAAGAAGTGAAGGTGACAAGATCCGAGTGAAGATTACCATATACACTATGTAACACTGTAATACCTATTTTAAAATATAGATGGCAGCATAACCATAGATCTGTTGACAAGAAGAATTCACTTCAGCTTCCAGAAGAAGGCAGCAAAGTGTATTTTCATTTTTCACATTATATTGACAAGAGTATAGGGAGCCTTGAACAAGTGTGGTACCTTAAGTATGTAGAAACAAGATAAGTTGAAAAATGTTTTTTTTTATCTCAGTATATTTAGCACTGTGTCCTACAGACCAGAAGTGCTTGGCAATTAAACTCTTCTAAGCTATACCTCTATCGGTTGCCAAGAAATGATCTTTAACCCATGCATCATGCACTGTGTACTTCAGGTGTCCAAACAAATTGTTCCTCAGGGTCAAGTTTTGGCTCGTTTGTGTTTTACAACCTCTCAGTTCAGAGCCTTGTAGTCTCAGCTGCAGGTCCAGTGATCGCTATCATTAACATTGTATCATTACATGAATTACCTGATTTGAGCCGCAGAACCAGATCTCAGGATTTTGGGGAGTGAGGTGCTTCGGGTAAGATCTGACATGTGCGTGCAAAAATACCAGACAAAAGCTTCCTTTATGGCGCCAACAAAAACTGGGCGCTGAGCCTGCCGATAGTGCCACGCTCCCACACCTTTCATGTGCATTGCATTAAAAGCTCTTGACACCTGGAGAGACTAATGTAATGCACAGGAGGCAGCTATGATAAGTAATTGGAATATTCCCAAATTTGTGATGTATCCTTTTGCATTTCTATGATCTTTTGTTTCTTTAACTGAACTACATGTGCTTGCTCTTTTTTTCCCCCCCTGTGTCGGCTCAGCTGATTCTTTCAATCCTCCTGTTCTCCGTGTTGTCCCCGCCTCCCCCCACCACCACCACCCTTGATCTCCAGGTGTGTTGCAACCCTGCCTTACCCCAAGGGGACAGCCTCCCCCTGCTGTTTGGTAATCAGAGGATTATTTGTGCTTAGTATATCTGACACTAAAATAGGAAGCCCAGAAACTGCCCTGAATATTGAATCAACACAAACCTCGCTTTAACAAAGCGGGGTTTTAACTGCCTTGCAAAAGCATAAGTGGAAAGGCATTTCATTTGGTTTGTATTTAGTAATCAGGGGATTAAGGCAGCTGCAGGGGGATATTGTTTTCTCAACAGACAAATCCCAGAATACTGTAAAACCTCAGCTCCCTTGCAGAGGATGGGGATTTATTGCATTCCATAGATTTGTGGGGAGGTGCTGGGCTGTGATGAGACCCTGAACTGAGTGGGATCAGCAGTGCTCAGTAAGGCTGAAAGTCATACAGAACTGACCAGCTGGATCGGTGCCGAAAGAATGTGGAATGTTCCGCATTTCGGTACACCGGATTGCAAAGAAAAATCTCGGCTGGGGATATCCAATGCATTTTGACTATTTTGGAGGGTTCATAATAACGTGTCAGGTGTTTCACAAGTTTGGCACCTTTCTGTTGTAAAGCACGTTTTTAGAATGGGTGAATTTTGTTTGAAAGTGGTGGGTTTATTTGCGTTGTGTTTTAAAACATGCTTGTATGTCCAGTGTTCCTCAGTTTTCAATGTCCTACAGATGGTTGCATCATGCATCAATGCTGCAGGAGCTTGAGTCCTGGGTTCAGTTGTGGGCTGGAGTGTTTTGTGAAGCCTGTGGGCTTTCACTGTAATTGTGTGGGCTTCCCACAGGTGCTCTGATTTCCTCCAGTTTTGCAAAAAGTTGATGGCTACATTAATAGTCTCTAAGATGACCCCATGAGCATGCTATGTGCAAGGGGCGATTCTGCCTTGAGCCTTGTCTGCTGGATTGGGCTCATGGGATATTTTTCGTATTCATTTACTGTTGCCTATTTAAGTTGGTGCTTTGTTATAGTAGGTAAATGTATGCAACTTACAAGTAGGAATCTCTTAAGATGTGTTAAAAGTATAGACTGTACAGTTTTTAGAATCATGTTTGCAAATTTATTCATTGGTAATTTATTCTTTTGTTCAATGAAGGGTAAATTGAAATCAGTTTTTAAAAAATGAATATACGGTACATCAGTAAACTATGAACTCATTCAAATGAATTTAATGCTCTAAAGGTGTTGGTTACTAGAAAACATTTTTTGCATTTGCTTTTTGTTCTTTCACTTGTCTACTGTATTGTGACGTATTAAAAACCTTTTAGTTGTTGAGTCATACAAGGAGGCTACATTTTTTTGCAGAATCAAAATTGTTACATCTTATTTGTTCTTTACACAGTGTATTTAAGAAGAAATGTTTTATTTTTTGAAAAATATTAATGCTAGGGCTATTTATTTCTAATGTTTGTAGTCTATATATAAATATTCTATCAAATCCTAATCTAAACATTCCTTTTAATACCACAGCAGTGTTTTGTGCAACTACACTTTAAACAAAAAAACCTTTTGAAGATTCCATTCACATAACAGTTAGTTTATACTGAAAAGCTGTTTGTTGTTTACGGTGTCTTAACTACAGTTGGACCTTCAGGAATCTCATCAGAGCTGAACAACACTGGTTTTGTGTCATTCCCTGGTTGTGTTCGCAGTACTGACACTGTCATGCTCAGCTTAAGGGCCCAGAAAATATACGGTGTCATACTTAATGGAGAAGGTGTGAGGGACAGAACGGACTAGTTCCTTCTGTTTCCCCCTGCAGTTCTGCTCACTCTTCATCTAGTCATCCTTTGAAAACTGAAGAAGAAACTGCTTAGACAGTGGGTTACAACTTTTCAGAGGTGTCCTGAAGATAAGTATGCCTTTTTTGTGATGTGCACAGATTTGCCGAAGGGTTGTGCCTAATGGGTGCCCTGTTGAGCTTTGTCCTTAACCTAGAAAGTTATTTTAAATTGTAATGTCAAACTTTGTTATAATTGGTATTTGGCCTTGACTATAAAGGAAGGAAAATGGGGGGGGGTGGTTCAAAAGTAAATCTGTTTACATCAAATGACATTTTGCAGAACATTCCCTATTGCATGGTAACATATAAGACAATTAGGCCACCTATGTCTAATGGATCATTAATACATTCCTTTTCCCTATTTACTGTATTTCAATAAAGTGGATACAGTTTTGTAGTTTTGAAGATATGGAAGATGCAATGAATGGTGTGATTTTCTGACAAGTCCTGTATGGAGCTATGAACATGAAGTTTTTGAATGTGACGGACTTCTCTTTCTCTGCATTCAATGAGTCTTTTTGAATCGCTTCCTCGTGTATGCATGCTACAGATAACAAAAAGACCTCAACATATACAAGCAGCATTGGCTGCTTAGTATTACATGGAAGTACATTTTAAAGGCTTCGATTTCTTGGGCAGAAATAACTTTCCAATAATTCTTGAATTGCTAATTAGGATAATCTTATCTTCAGTAAAATATTGTATAGTGTTCATGGTGAATTGAAAAGGCTGTTAATCATTGGTTTTACTGTTTTTTATGTTTATATATGTTTATTATTGAGTGGCACAGTGGCTCAGGGTTTAGCATTGCGGTCTCACAGTACTGGGGCCCAGGGTTTGCTTCCAGACCTGTGGTGCTATCTGCGTGAAGTTGGTGCATTCTTCACGTTTTTGTATGCGTTTTCTCTGGGTGCTCTGGTTTTCTCCCACAGTCCAAAAACATACTGGTAAGCTAAGTGGCTTCTGGATAAATTCACCTTGGTGTGAGTCCTTGTCGGTGTGCCTGTCTGCCCTTTGATGGACCATCCAGGATGTACCCTACCTTGTCCTCATTGCTTACATAGTTTGGTGATGAGATTGGAAGACACTTTAATGGTGGTGTTCTTAGTGTTCCTACTGTAAAAAAATATATATATATATTTTCTATGATCTTTTATGTCTCAGTCTTGTATCGGAAACATAATCTTTTCATACTTTTAGACATGCTTTTGTGGAATGCTAGGAGCTTGAATAAGATTGCAATAGACGGGGAAAAGTTTTTCCAATTTGAAAGTGGACAAACAATGTAGTTAATTGTCAGTAAAGTTCTATCCCATATGTTAATATGAGCCATGGTGCATACTGTGCCCAACAGTGAAGAACACAATACATACCATATGTGAACTGAGGTCAACAGCTACTTCATCCTCATCTGCTGCAGGATGGCTTTTTCCATTCAGAAACTAAGAGGAGTGTGATGCAGCTCATTGATGGATCATACTCCTTTTAAAGAGCACAAAGGTATTATAAATCAAGTCTGCGGGGGTTCTCATGTTCTGAGATGATTAAAAATGTATTCAATCATTGTGTCCAGTTTTGAAGGGTTATGAAGAGGGCAGATTTTACTAAGGTTCTGTTACACCAAAAATTTTGGGAAGCTTTCAATCTGGCTGTCTGAGAATATAAGATGAACTGGTAATTGAACTGCTAACCTACAGATGACTAATTT